TCAGAGTGTGGAGAGTCCACTCTCCCTCTCCAAATGCTCTCACATGGCCACGCGTATATAGCCTCTGTCAGGGAAGTCCTACTCACTGCCTTCTCGTGACATAACTGTTGTTTACGAAGTTGAGAGGACGAAAAGCGAATGTCCGGAGCTTTAACCGAGTTGGTGGACATGGAGAGCCCATCTAGGGGAGTTGGAAAACCCTGATTCCAAACCAATGGTGCACATGGGCTCTAGTATCCGGAAGGAACAAATGGCGTATGAACTTAGTGTTGGTCACTGGCTTTCATGTGACTGCATCTTCGTACGTTGCTCCACTGCCTTGTGGATCAGACCGTCGGGTCGAAGGCTCCGAGTGTGGCCCCTAAGCAAACCACCTGCTTCGGTTTGGGCACCCAGGCATTGTCACAGCCCTCACACATATCTCATTCGATATGTGTGGCGCATATGTATTTGGTGCCTCCTTGTACCAATATCTTTATGTTAAAATAAATAAATAAACTACTTCTATGAGTTCGGTATTCATCTTGTTGTGCTAATGAGGTATGGCAACTTGGACCGATGCATATATGTGCCTGGTCCTACGTTGCAGCTGACTGACTGATATTATAATTTATGTATCTTAACAATCTAACTCACAGACTATATGAAAAAAATTCAAAAGGAACTTTTTGCTTTCTATGTATTGAAATTGTAGCTTGTAGAGTGAACTAGAATGCATGATTTAATTTATTTGGAACTCTTTAGTTGAATATACATGCATCCATGTATTATTGTTCATATTGAGATCTAAACTCATTCATTATCGCTTCAAACTCCAACGTACTATCCACTAGGCTACTGAGTTCGATTAACTAATAACGTATTCGACGGTATTAGTCTATTTTCAAAATTTTGTATTTACCTGTTACTGTGGATCCTATTGCTAATCACAATCCAAACATACTAAAACTCATAACGAAAAAGAATTATTTAAGCAGTTCATTCAGAATGCATATACTTTCCACTAGTGAACAATTGATTGTCTTATCAATTACATGATCTATTTGTAAATGGAAGTAATTGATGAGTTTTAATAAATCATGTTAAGAACGAATTAATTGATGAATTAGACATCATTAGACTTTAACACTAGAATTATTTTGATTTTTAAGCTAAATTTCTTTGGAATACTATCTCTGCAGTATGTACAACTAGTTGACTGATCAAAGACTAGTGGATGTACCTAATCTAGTTTCAATAACAGCTGGAATAATAACTCGGAATGCTATTAGTCTTGATGTGTTCTACTTTAGAGTTGTGGTACAATGAATCCGTATCTATGAAACTCGCAACCTGAGTAGTTGATTCTTAAGGACACAATAAAGACTTTTATAAGTACTCTCTATTTCCCCTCTATACCATCGTTAATTAAAGTGGGAATAAACATTTGACTATCGTCTTTTCGTTAGTTGAGGACATAGTCCATGGTCAGTTGAAGAGTATTTTATACTTTATTCATTCATTGAGTTAATTCGTACTTTCATTATTAGGGTGATATTTCAATGTGTGTTAATGCTTGCTGATCATAATAGTCCGTGACAAATTCTATCTTCAAATCCCTTCGTATTATTAAAAACGAAATTTACTTAATACAATTTATAATAGTTGTCTGTTTACTTGTTTATTTGAGCACATAAATATTCGTATAAAGAGGCACCGAATACATATGTGCCACACAAGTCAAATGATTTGTCTGAGGACTGGGATACTGCCCGTGTGCTCAAACCGAAATAGATGGTTTTATTAGGGGACCACTCCAGAGTTTTTGACATAAAGGTCTAATCCGCAAGGCAGCGGAGCAACATCCCATGGTAGCCGGCGACCAACGATTGACTTATACACCATTTGTTGTTTCAAGTTCCTTGAGCCTATGTGTATCATTGGTTTGGAATGAGGGTTTTCCAACTTCTCTAGGTGAATCCTCTGTATACACCAACCCGGTTAAATCACCTGACATTCTCTTTTCGTCTTCTCAATTTCGTAAACAATAGTAATGTCACGAGAAGGCATTGAGTAGGACTTCCCTGTGAATGGCTGTATACGTGTGGCCATGTGAGAGGATTTGGAGAGGGAGAGTTGACTCTCCTCACTTCCGGCCATACCAAGACATTTGGGGACATTTTTTTAACACTTGCATGAAATCCGAATGCCAATCAAACTGTAATAATTAAAACTAATTAATCATACTTTTCAATAATTTAGGCAAAATCTCCTGAGAATGACTGTTCGTACTTGTCACGTATAACCTACTCATGGTTCACAAGGTGAGTTAGTACAGTATTTTTGAAAGGGAGGTTAATTATTGTCGTGTGTTTTAAAAAAAACTTCTATACATCCATTATTTTGATGAATGATGATTGTGCTATATCAACTCTCAAATCTAAAGATATCATAGTCCTTACAACACCAAGAATTTTAGGTGTAGAGCCCTTGGAAGTCTTAAATAAAAATAGTACAATGATCCAATATTTTATATTTTGATGAATCTGAAATTGATGCCAGTCTGTGATGAGAAGATTTTGGCGGAATCAACTAAAGTAGACTGGTGAATACATTATAAGAATACTTCAATGTTATTTTTTTCAATGTTTTAATGAAATTAACTCAGTCAATACCAGCGGTCTAATTAATCTAAAAGGTTTGTAGTACTTAGTGAGAACGAAACTTATAATTGTCCAATATAAAAAAGAACAAACTACAACAATACGTACTGTGAATTGGTTTGGAAGGTTTGTAGCAAAGGTGAAAAATCGTAGTGAATTTGGATTCTCTGAACTGGTGGGTTAAATTCTGAAGTTTTCATTGTCTACTAGATAATAACATTCGGATAAACATCATGTTGAAATCGGTGCTGATGTTTCTGTCTAGAGAGTGAGACAATAAAAACTTTCATGAATAAATTACACTCAAGTTTAGACAATTCAAATTCTTTGAAAATCATATACCATTGAAATCATCTTCAATTAGATTATTTCAGTGTTTGTTAGGGATGCAGAGGAATATACCAATAATTATCGTGTTAAGTCTAATGGTGTCCTTCGACGTTAAATGGACATTTCCATTGGTCGATATTCATTTCACCTGTCAAATATTGTACAAATGTTGTTTACTATTTTATGGTACGATGTGGTCTGGTTGGTTGGTATATAAATAGAGCATGTCTGAAATATAATGATTCATATCTCAGAGGCTGTGACTTGCGTTCTGGACTCAAGTGGCTGGGATAGACAGCGGAGCGAGGCCAATCGGGTCTCTAGGTCGTCCTTACGTGTTTTACGTGTCACTGTAATCGATCGATAATATACGCTTCACTGTAATCTACAGTCCACCCGTTACAACAGTGTTCTACATAATATGGTAATAACCCAAACAATGAATTGATTCTCAATTGAAAACAAGGATCCCATCAATCAATTATCTGAAAAACTATTCCTTTTATATAATGAATGGCAAAGAGAAATGTTTTCAGGGAAAGAATTCCACTTCTTCATAGAAAGTTGCATTGTATAAGCTTTACTTCAATTCTTTTTTCATTTTGTAAAATCAAAACGCAAACGAAACTACAGTCCGCTATAACAAAATTTCAGTTGGTTGCATAAAATAACGAATAGGAATTAGTGTATGATAGTGAAATAGTAAAAATGAGCAAAACAGTTCAGTTAGCAAAGGTACAATCAGAAAGAATTCTTCCAGTTAAAGAAGTTACATCCATTTTTTTAAATAAAGAAAATACAATAAAGTTATAATAGGATCGCCAGTAGTAGCTTCTATTCTGAGCTATATCTGATAACGTCTCTAACCGCTGTGTTGCACCATCTCTAGGACCTCAATTAGGGAGTCGTGAAGGTCCGACATAAGTAATCCTTAATTAGGAGTATTTTTCCGGTATTCTATAGTTGCTAATATTTCTTCAAATAACCCATAGTATTAATAAATAAGAAGAAGAGAATTCAGTGAAGAAATCTTTCTCTTCTCGACGAAATCATTTACTTAAGTTGTATATTAGTACATATAGTTATATATATATATAAAATATATGTCTATAAGAGGATAGAAAAGATTGTATCATAAAATAGATTCGAGACTAAATAATAAATATCAGAATGTACGGTGGCGCAACTTCGTGGATTGGTTGAAGTTAGACATTAACACCGTTGGATGCCGGCTCATTGGTCTGATGGTTAAGTGCTCGCGCGCGAACCAGTAGGTCCTGGGTTCGAACCCCGTCAGATGCGGGGTCGTGGATGCGCACTGCTGAGGAGTCCCATACCAGGACGAATCGGCCGTCCAATGCTTCCAGGTTTTCCATTGTGGTCTAGCTTCAATTGACTTATGATTTCAACTTCCGAAATTTCTAAATAATAAATGAGATGGTAAGGATAAAATAATTTACAGATCAGATAATTGTCCAGTCGACAGATATGAAGAAAAAACGACATACATAAAGGTCATAATAATAATATAAACTGAATAAAAACGAAATAAAAGTATAAGAAAAAACCCACCCAGAAACATACCGATTAAGGGATTAGGGTCAAGGATGAGAGGATGAATCGTTTCTGCACGCAAAGTTCTGGCTTGAGTTCGTGGATTGTCAATGCCTCAGCAGTGCATAGAATGTTGATTCGACACCCCTTTGATCCAATTCTTTTGACTCTGTAGATTACTTTAAAAGAAGAGTCCTTTGGAGCGATGTGTCTACAGTTAATGAAATGCTCCTGTATCGAACTAGTAATTGTTTTACATTCATCTTTTAAAGCCAAGCCGGATAGTGTTCTGAGATGAGTTTGGAATGTGATCGCTTTGTGCGGCCTGTGTAATGTGCCTCACATGGGCAAGTAAATTTATAGATACACATTGATATGGCCCAAAGCGGAAGTTTATCCAAGTATGGTAGACCGGCTTGAGAAAACGATTCGGAGCTTAGCTGCGTAGAACGTTTCATTCTGACCCGTAAATTTATGAAAATCATTATCACTATTCTGTTTTTTGTCTTTATACTTTCTAGTTTAATAATCAAAGGATTTCGTAAACCTGTTGAATTTAACGATATATGGCGATTAGATTCACAGCATTTATCAGTCAATGTATCAAAGATATTCTTAACTAACTTGGACAAATATTTAATACCAAATAAATCAACTAATAATTATCTGTAAGTTAATTATTGTTCCATTTTCTATAATTTCAATGGTTAAGATCATGAGTCAATTGAAGCTAGACCACCATGGAAAATCTGGAAGCACTTGACGGCCGTTTCGTCCTATTGTGGAACTCCTCAGCAGTGTGCATCCACGACCCCGCCTCGCGGGATTCGAACCATGGCGGTCTAGCTTCAATTGACTCATGATCTCAACTGTTGAAATTACTACAATCTCCACAAAACCCCTTCCCATTTTCTATAAATCAATATTCGTTTAATTACTACAACATATATCTTACTAATTAATTGTGTATATGTGTATATGTAGGTTATCAGAGTTCTAATGAAAAGCCATGACAAGTGAAGTTTAATAATGTTGAACGTGTATTAGTTATCCATTGTAGCAATGTAAGAGGGCCATTCAATATCTCAACTTGGTTAAAGTTGGATATATAAACCATTGAGTGTAACGGCTCAGAAGTCTAAACATGAAGCTCTCACTGCGAGACTAGAAAGTTCAGTTGTCGATGAACAGTAAGGTTGTGGATGTGAACTACAAAAACGTAGTTATCTCTATGGTAATCCATGTACTAATGAAATAATATTAATCATTAGAAATTGATGAGTAAACAATAAATAAACTTTAAATTGTGTTACATTTAATGTTTTGGTCCAGTTAAGAGTGTGGCAACTCGAACTGATGTACGTACGTACGAAGTTCTACGTTGTTACTGACTGACTGACTAAGAGTTTCTATCAAATTTTTATCTATACAGAAACTATCAGTTAAATCATTTGGCTTTCAGTTAGTAAAATTGCAAACTTGATATTTACTTCGTTTTGTATGAGCATGCGTCATGATTAACTCTTGAATGTGCATAAAATTTTTATTTGATGGATTGGATTCATGTTCTTGTTATGCCATTCAATTTGGTGGTTAAAATGAATCCTTTAGAAAATCAATGCGAACTAGAGTATGGAGCCATTGTCAATTGCTGTTTTAATATAATACTGATATTCAAGATCCTTTATTGAGGTTCTTTTTTACTTCAATGATTGTTAACTTCAATTAAAAATTGTATTCGTATACTTGATAGTTGATTCTTATCTTAATATATTAATGAACTTTAATCAATAAATGTAGAGTATTCACTGTAAAATTGTACATCCTATGTCTATCTCACATCATGAAGAATTCATGTCTAGTGCTTCTTAGTTATCTGTAATTATTTAACTAAGGTTATTGTTATAGATTAAATGTTATTGGATTGTAATAAGGACGGATTAAATAGACAGAATATTACTAGTATAGGGGTTGTGGAGATTATTAAGTTTTTGATTGAGATCTTGAACCGATTGATGTTAGACCACCTTTGGAAACCTGGAAGCACTGAACGACCGTTTCGTCTTCATAGAAGATAGTCGCGCAAATACGTGAATTGGTTGAAGTTAGACATTAACACCGTTGGATGCCGGCCAACTCAGTGGTCTAATAGGTTGAGCGTTCGCACGCGAGATTGAAGGCACTGGGTTCGAATCGTGAGAGGCAGGATCGTGGATTCACACTGCTGAGGAGCCCCATAATAGGACGAAACAGCCGTCAAGTACTTTCAGGTTTCCAAAGGTGGTGGTCTAACATCAATCGGTTCATGATCTCAATCAAAGACACAATATTATTGTCTCAATAAATTAATATATTTTGAAAAGATTGGATTACATAATCAAGAGAGAGGATATGAGGAAAATAATTAATTTCAAGAAGGGAAACCTTATCAAACAAAGTGTTTGTTTGTTTATTTTTTGTAATAAAAATAAAATCCCAGTAATGATATGTTATAATAAATGTAGATAGAATTTGTTGAAGTTAGACATTAACACCGTTGGATGCCAGCCAACTCAGTAGTCTAGTGGTTAAGCGTTCACACGCGAGACCGATAGGTCATGGGTTCAAATCTCGAGTGCGGGATCGTGGATTCACACTGCTGAAGAGTGCCACAACAGGATGAGACGGCCGTCTATCTTTCATTGACTCATGAACTCAATTACTAAAACATAAGTCTTTTTTTTTACTAGTGAAAATTCAGGCTTCATGTTGTAGATAAAATTTCTGTTCTTTTTCTGAAGTCGAAAACGAAAACATCTTGCATAAATTTATACGAATTCTATGGAAAAATGTTGAGGTGTTTCTTGGTGAAGCAGTGGTTGGAAGAAAGCCAGGGGCGGCCAACCAAAATATGGCACAAATCCATGTAGTCGCTGAGAAGTGTACTGAGTTATGTTGGTAGGTGCAGACTACCTGGTTGAGATCCGCGAGACGATAACAACCGATAGTTGAAGACTTTGAATAACGTGGCTGAAAATCGTTTGCAATGGCGCAGGTGCATCCACTCTTTGTGTTCTCTCAAATTCTAATCTTCTGAATTGTTCATGTCCCTTTTTTCCTCTTTCCAAATTTATTTCACTGGATTATACTCCTTGAATAACATCTTTGAACCCTAATCTTTCCGATTGCTGCCTATAATTTTATTACCTCTACCACAATGGGATTTGAATCGACAATTATATCTCTGTGCTAATGTAGTATGTCAACTCGAACTGATGTACGTACGTACGAAGTTCTACGTTGTTACTGACTAATTAATACCATGTAGAAGTTCGCTTCTTAGTTATTCGACAGGCATTAAATCTTTTTATTCTGATGGTCTTATTCTTGATTGATTCTTTTCTTAAATTTCATTGTCTTCACTTGTTTATATGTTTAAGTTAATTATCTTGTTCGATTGACCTTCGACCATATAGTTGATAGACCTATTCTTGTGAGTTGATAGGTTGCGTTGTAGTTATCGAGAACACAAGTGGGGATCATAGAATGTATTTGAACACAAAATTACAGAACAACTTAGTAAAATCTGAGAACCATACAGTAAATATTTCATTTACAAAATGTCAATCAATCGTCTCAAACTTTACTGTTTCTTTATTTCCACAGAAATCATTCTTTGTCCACGATCTATTTTCTTCGATCTTGACATTCTGCTATCAGGCATTTGACTTTCGATTAATGATACATACTACTTATATCTGTTGACATCAGTAGCACACATCACAGCGTCTATTTCGATGTGTCTGTTGATTGTCACTTAACTTAAGTGCCATATTTCTAACTTAAATACATCAAAGAATCTCATTTCTTTGATTAAATAAGATTAATCAATCAGTTGTGTAATATGTAAGCTGTAAAATGGTTAACATAACCTACCTTACTGTATTGTGTATCTAATTATTAAAGTGTCATTTATGAAGTGATAAAGTTGACCTGTTTTATTAATTTTTCAAACACTTCTTTGAATATATCGATGTATTTAGTTCTATCTAATCATTCACTATTTTTGAGGTAGATGATTCCTGTAGATTAGCTCAGAGGTAGGAGGAATAATAGGAATTGAAGAGGGAGGTTGATTATGAATACAGTGGTCTTGAGTGCTGTTAGAGGCATGAGGGCGGTTATCACTTCCCAGTTGCCCACACCATGGAAGGGTTCTTCTCGAGGTACCTGCAAAGGAAATTGGATTAGAGGTGGTCTTAGTAACCTGAGAGCGTGACCGCTGTACCCAAGGGACAACTGTTTGAGGTCGATCACACACGACCTTTTCATGAGTAATTTCTGTGTTAGCTCCGTACTTGTTGAGACCTTATCGACGGAGACGGATATCTGTGGGATAAGGCAAGGTGTGCATTTTTAGGGTCGACCTTTTCTAACCCCACCCCTCCTTGTGGGAAGGCAGTATCGCTGTTATGCTGGTTGTCTGAAGGAAACACCTTACTGCTGTCACACCTCTGTACAGTCAGCAGTACGACTTGGCCTTCGGACCTTGGGTTTGTTGCTTTTAGTCTTACCGCTCTTCAACCGACCTGTCTGACATGGTAGGACGTTGAGGAACGGTTGTTGCAGCCAGTATAGCTCGGTTGCTTCATCACGATAAGCAAGCCCGACCACCACGTCAAGGTAGCAACAACGGTAGATTAGCTCAGTTTTAATGATTGTTTTTGTGACGAACAATCCCTAGCGAGGTCAATTAATATATATCGTTGAGAAGTTCAGAACAAATTGAAATCTTTACTTAATACTCCGTTATCGGTGATGGTTTTTTATTTGGAAAAATATTCCAACTTCATAGTGCAACTTTATTAATCTAAATCAATTGATTGTAACTATCTACGATTCCATTTACTTATTTACTTTCGCCTGTTACTCCCAATGGAGCGTAGGCAGCTGACCAGCATTCTTCAACCCACTCTGTCTTGGGCATTCCTTTCTAGTTCTATCCAAATTTTGTTCACTTTTCTAATGTTTGTCTGCATTTCTCGGTGTAATGTGTTCTTTAGCCTTGAGGATTCCATGTGAGAGCTTGTCTTGTGACGCAGCTGGGTGCTTTTCTCAATGTGTGTCCTATACACTTCCAGCGCTTCTTCCTCTTCTAGGATCTGATTTATTCTTCCCCATAGTAGGTTGTTGCTGACATTGTCTGGCAAACGGATCCGAAGTATGTTGCGTAGACATCTGTTTATGGCTTTCGTAGTTCTTCACGTTTCCGTTCCATACAATAGAATTGCTTTGACATTTGTATTGAAATTACTGACCTTGGTGTCGGTTGACAGTTGTTTTGAGTTGCAGATGTTCTTCAATTGTAAATATGCTGCTCTTGCTTTACCGATTCGCGCCTTTACATCTGCATCAGATCCACCGTGTTCATCAATGATGCTACCCAGATATATAAAGTTTTTTTTACATCCTCCAAATCTTCTCTATCAAATGTAATTCGATTGGTACATGTTGTATTGTATTGGAGAATCTTGCTTTTCCCTTTTTGTGTATTGAACGATTCGATTTACATTTTCCATTAATTACTCATAGATCTACTTTGAGTCACAATTCGGTTGTATGATAAGAATAATACATATATGTTAATGAACTAGTACCATTCAATAAAATACAAAGCTTTTCCTTTTGTTTATTTAGTTAAATGATTTGCACTTTGATTTTACAACGGATATTTCTGACAATGAACGATCAGTACAGATTGTATTTACTGAGTACAACTTAATGTTTACAGTTTTACACTACACTGTTTATATGTAGTATCCACCGTCTATGTAAATTAATGTACTTGTAGTGCATTTCAAAACTAATTACTCTAATTACTCTAATTCTGAATTGAAACTTATCTAAAGAAAAATATTTATTATTGTGTATATTGAAAGTTTGTTTTTGATTTCAGTAAACACTACTAGCTATTTGTTTTTAAAGACTAAAAGATAATCTGAACTCATATATATGCGTCACACAAGTCACTTGATTTATGCGTCAGCTGTGATACTACCCGAGTTCCTAGACCGAAGCAGGTGGTTTTCTCAGGGGGCCACACCACGAGCCTTTAACCTACAGATCTAATCCACAAGGCAGTGAAGCAATGTCAGGAGATCCAGTCCCATCGTATCCGGTGACCAATAATACGTTCATATGCCATTTATTTCATTAGGATTCTGGAGTTCATATACACCATTGGTTTAGAATCAAGGCTTCCCAACTCCTCTAGGTGGATTCTCCATATCAACCGATTTGATTAAATCGCCGAACATTCACATTTCATCCTCTCAATTTCGTAAACAATATGCTTGATGCCCCCAAATGCCCTGGTACGGCTGAGAGTGGGGAGAGTTCGCTCTCCCTCCCGAAATGCTCTCACATGGCCACGCGTATATAGCCTCTGCCAGGGAAGTCCTACTCACTGCCTTCTCATGGCGGGGGTGTTGTTTACGAAAATGAGAGGACGAAAAGCGAATGTCGGGCGCTTTAACCGGATTCCAAACCAATGGTGCACATGGTCTCTAGTATCCTGCGGGAACAAATGGAGTATGAACCAGTCGTTAGTCACCGGCTACCATGGGACTGCACCTCCTTACGATGCTCCACTGCCTTGTGGGTTAGACCTCTAGGTCGAAGGCTCGGGGTGTGGGGCCCCTAAGAAAACCACCTGCTTCTGTTTAGGCACCCAGGCAGTATTACAGCCCTCACACATATCAAATGAGATTTGTGTGGCGCATATGTATTTGGTGCCTCTTTGCACCATTATCTATGTGTTGAAATAAAAATAAAAAAATGCGTGGTGCGAGAAGGCAGTGAGTAGGACTCCCATGACAGTGGCTGTAAACGCGTGGCAATGTAAGAGCATTTCGAGAGGGAGAGCTGACTCTCCCTATTCTCGGAGGCGATTATACTATTAGTGTTATTTTAAAAGAAAATATTGAATAAACCAGTTATTAGTGTTTTTTTTTAAAAATTTTACCAGCACTTACCGTAGTTGGATTGGTGAGGGATTTATGGAAAAAAATGACTAGATATTTACTTAAAAATTGTAAATATTTTGTAATAGTTACCAATTATTTTATATTTGCATTGGAAAATCCCGGGATTGGCAGAATTATTGGTGTGTGTGTTTTAACACTTTTACTTTAACTTAGCCAGTCAGTCATTATCTACCTAGATTTTAGTACAGATGCATGTTAGTTCAAGTTGCTGTTCAGACCTACACAACACGAGGATATCAACATCACTAATTGTAAAAGAGTAGAAATAATTGTAGTATCAATCGTAACACGAAATGTAAAACATTGAGAATATGGTTTAGAAAGATGTTATGAACGGGTATGTATGTATGAAATAATACTGGAACTCAAGATCTGGAATATGATAAAAAGTGAGTGCATCTACACCGTTTTGACAGATTCTGAGCCATGTCATTTGCTGCCTCCAACAATTGATCGTGATTATTTAGAGGACTCTGACAGGGTATTGTGCCATCTATCTACACGGTTCGTATCGATGTTGTACATCATGCAACAAAACAAATATAAGGTAGCTATACTAGTTTAATGTAAATAAATGCTGTGAGAAATAGTCGTGTCCATGAAAAGGATCAAAATTTCTTTGTATATATTGATCGTAAAGGTTAAAAGAGAGGTTGAGACATTCTGATTATAGTCTACAGAATAATTTTAATCAATGATTGGTTAACAGGACTCATGATCATGGTGTCTCATGTGCACCTCTTTAATTTTTGATTTTCAACCTTAATTTACAATTTTATTACGTAAATTATTTTCTCTAATTATATTCTTTGTATATATGATGGTTTGTTGATATTAAAGTCTCTATTTGGTTGATATCTATTGACATATGTGCATTCTGAGCGGATTACCTTGTTACTGCCTCTAGTCACAAAGTTTTAGTAAAGCTTGTTTGTGAATAACAATGTCATCAAGGATTATGGTTTCGTTTTAGTTGTGACTCCAGTGTAGACTAATTAGATGCAGTCCTTATTATTAACAACAGTAAAACTCAAATTTTTATACATGTAACTTTACAACAGTTGGACAATTCGGCGGTTATCTAAACCTGATAGGTCAATCGATAACTTGTTAATATTTGCGGTGAAATGTGATTAGTTCTAGTTCTAATGTAGACATCAATGCTAGGATACAGATATGTTGTTAGTGTTAAACATTCTTTACTGTGACCATAAGTGAAAGAATGATAATTGGTTTTATTGGGTAGAATGATTGTAGGTGATCCAATCATTTAGTTAGAAATCATATATTGACTATAAGGACAGGAAAAAGTAATAAAAAAAAGACAATCATGTTTGACAAATTCTGTAATATTTATATGATCAGTTATCTACGTCATAAAAGAAAAGTGTAATGGATGCGCACTGCTGAGGATCCCCATACTAGGACGAAACGGCCGTTCAGTGCTTTCAGGTTTTCCATGGTGGTCTAGCTTCAATTAACTCATAATTTCAATCTGTGATATTATTTTATTTTCAAATGTCTTTCAGTGATGAAAAGATGCTACTTTCTTCCTTTGTATTTATTATGTATAAAAGAAAAAAAATCGAATGATAGGACTGATTTAAAATGGGAAATTTATTTACTTTAAAGGTTCTATTAAAAAATGTTTAAATACTTTCTGTTACTTCACTGTAACAGATATCCGGAGAAGTTTATGAGCAAAGAAAAGTAGAAAATTCGACTGATAACCATATTTTAAAACCTTCTAATAGGGTATGGCAATTTGAATCGATGTATATATGTGCCTGGTATTATGTGGGGTAACTAACTGAATCGATTTATAAGAACTTCTACTTTTTCTGAAACTTAACTTTTGAACTCTTGTATGTGATGTTTCAATATTCATAGTAGAATTTTTAACATTTTCAATTTGAAACTAATAACACTTTAATTACTAATTGTATTTTGAGGAGAGGAGAGAAGGAAGGGATAATCACCTGATTTCGGGCAGGTTAACCATATCGAGTAAAACACAATGTCTATTCAATTACTAGTATAGCTAACACATGTAGGGTAGAGACAAGTATCTACCTCAGTACAATAGAAGGTGTCGCGCAATTTGGTGGATTGGTTGATGTTAGACACTATTACATTGGATGCCGGCTCAGTGGTCCAGTAGGTTAAGCGTTTGCGCGCGAGACCGAAGGCCCTGTGTTCGAATCCCTCGAGCGAGACCATGGATATGCACTGCTGAGGAGTCCCACGTTAGGACGAAACGGCCATCCAGTACTTCCAGGTTTCCAAAACTGGTGGTCTAACATCAATCGGTTCATGATCTCAATCAAAAGCTTATTCAATTCCTCAAATTTACTAGTTCGAATAAATTGTTTTACCCTTTAAATCACACTGCTATGCTAATTCTGTTTATTTATCATACTGTATTATGTTTAATTTCTTTCAATATCTTCTTTATTGTTTTCTTCAACAATCAGTGAAAAACGTCGTGCTTCTATGGGAAATAATATACATCATGGTACTAATGATTCATCAGATAGTGAATTTCGACGTAGATCAGCACAAAGTATTCTTGGCTTTGGTATTCCACAACATAATAAATATTTATATAAATCTGGATTAACAAATACCTATTCAGATGAGATGAATATAAGAAGAGCTAGTGAAGGTATTGCTTTATTGAATAATAATAAAACATCACTTCAAATTAACAATAATGATATTCATCTCGAAACTGATTTAAACCATAAAACTCAACAAAATGAATCATTACAATCAATTGATAATCGAATGGATTCAATAAATCATGATTTACCATCCAGTACTATTATAGGTAATTACTTTTAATATTATTTTCTTTAATATGATTGAATGAGACAGAGGAAGAGAGAATAGAAGAAAGAAAAAATACATTGTATGTTAGATCAAATGATAAAGTTTTCTTTATTTTTTTTTCCAAATGTATCTATCAAATTGTAAATTATAAAACTTTTAGTCATTTATGTTGATTGTAGTAAATGATAGTAGAGTGTATTGTTTGTTTAAATTTTGTCAAAATCTGTAATATATCCATGTATAAAGTTTAAATACATTCTTATTCTAGTATGCCACCAAATGTCCTGGTACGGCCGAGAGTCAGCTCTCTCTCGAAATGCTCTCACAATACCGCGCGTATACAGCCACTGTCATGGCAGCCCTACTCACTGCCTTCTCGCACCACGTATATTGTTTACGAAATTGAGAGGATGAAATGTGAATGTTTGGCGATTTAATCAGATTGGTTGATATGGAGAATCCATCTAGGGGAGTTGGAAAACCTTGATTCCAAACCAATAGTGTATATGAACTCCAGAATCCTAATGAAATAAATGGCATATGAACGTATTATTGGTCACCGGATACGATGGGACTGGATCTCCTGACATTGCTTCACTGCCTTGTGGATTAGATCTGTAGGTTAAAGGCTCGTGATGTGACCCCCTAGGAAAACTGCCTGCTTTGGTTTAGGCACTCGGGCAGTATCATAGCCGACGCATAAATCAAGTGACTTGTATGACGTTTTATCCTATTTTATAACTATCTAATGTGACTTTTAACTTTCGTCATTAACTCGGTAACTTTGCATCACTCAGTTGGAATTCAGTTATCGAAATTCTATAATATAATAATCGATCTTCATGATAAACTGTTGTAGTTCTAGTGAAAAGTCATAATTTATGAAGTTCATTGACGTTAACATTGAGACAGAGTTCAGTGATAATAATCAATGATGATCATGCTTTAAACGACTAGATTTCAACTCAGTTATATTAAAGCAATATGCTCAACTTGACAGCTGAACATCCTGATTCACATCACTAGCAAAATCCATAGGTTCATATGAGTGGACAGTTTCCAATTAGAGCAGAAGAATTGTTCAATAATCTCTACAAATTTCATCTTTCAAATGAAACTCATATTTACAGTCTTTTTAATTCAATATTACACGTATCATTTTATAAAGATATGAGCCTACTTTTTCTTTCGATCACCACAGATTGAGAATCTAAAAGTCACATTGTTATTTCTTTTCGTTTCCTGTTATTATATATATATATATATATGTAACGTAGACCCTTTATTTATGATGACTGTTAACTGACGTTTGTGTTTGTTCAGAACAAATAACCCTTTATACATTAGCATAGACATTGTTATTATTTTCAATAGTTGAGATCATGTATCAATTGAAGCTAGACCATCATGGAAAAACTGGACACACTAAACAGCCATTTCGTCCTATTGTGGGACTCCTCAGCAGTGCGCATCCACGATCCCGCCTCATGAGATTCAAACCCAGGACCTATAGGTCTCGCGCGCGAGTGTTAAACCACTAAACTACTGAGTTGGCCGGCATTCAACAGTGTTAACGTCTAAATTCAACTAATCCAAAAAATTGAGTGACATATCCATCATTGTCCTCAATGAGTTACTATCTCACAACAGACTCGGTTGAACTTCTTTGGTTACAATTTCTCACTAGAACTTCAAGAACTACGTATTGGAGACCGTCACTAATGAGCATATGATGATGAATATCAGAATGCGTTATGTTGATATTATAGTATTCTCAGTGGTTGAGATCATGAGTCAATTGAAGTTGAACCATCATAGAAAACCTGGAAGTACTGAACGGCCATTTCATTCTATTGTGGGACTCCTCAGCAGTGCACATCCACGATCCCGCCTCGCGAGGTTTCAACCCGGGGCCTTTTAATCTCACCTGCGGACTCTCTACCTATTAGACCACTGAGCTGACCGGCATTCAACAGTGTTAAACCCTTATCTATTCATTGTGTACGTATCGACTAAATTAAAATATAATACTTTTAAGCGTAATAAAGCAAAGAATTGTCTCTGTTATTTATATATGGATTTATTTAAATCGAATTGGATAGTTCACGGTTTTTTTTTACTGGACTGAAATGGATAAAAGTTGTATTGTCAGTCAACTCGTTTTTCTCCTTCCTTTCAACTTTATTTATTTTCCATCTGTCTACTTTATCTCACTCTATTCTCTACTTATATTCTTTCTTTTATTTGCTATCACACATAGTTTATGTTACCATATAATAAGTGTCTCAGGATATAATTTGTTTTGTTTTTCTTGTATATAACTGTACATAGCTGTTGTAGTTCTTCATGTTTTTTTTTTCCATTCCCTTACTATATGAATTTTAACAGAAAGCCTCAAGTAATTTTTTTCTTTATATTATAGATTTTCATAGCATAAAAAAGTAGTAGGTGTTAAAACATGTGAAATTATTCGATATTTATCAGTATAGGGGTTGTGGAGATTATTAAGTTATTGATTGAGATCATGAATTGATTGATGTTAGATCACCACAATTGAAAACCTGGAAGTACTGGACGGCCGTTTCGTCTTATTGTGGGACTCCTCAGCAGTGCATATCTACGATCCCGCCTTGCAGGATTCGAACCCAGGACTTTCAATCTCGTGTGCGAACGCTCAACCTATTAGACCACTGAGCTGGCCGGCATCCAACGGTGTTAATGTCTAACTTCAACCAATTCACGTAATTGCGCGACCATCTTCCATTGTGCTGAGGTAGATACCTGTCTCTACCCGACATGGATTAGCTCCACTGGTCACGGCTTCTCATTAGAACTCTGAGGATTCCCTCACGAAGCTAGTCATTAGTGAACACATGGTAATTATCAGTATGGGGTTGTGGAGATTATTAAGTTATTGATCGAGATCATGAATCGATTGATGTTAGATCACCACTGAAAACCTCGAAGCACTGGACGATTTTTATTGTTTCTTTGTAATTTTATATTTATGTCTGAATCTATCAAAGAAATATAAACTGAAGTTAATGTTTTAGTCACGAAGTTATGTCAAGCTTGAACCTAATTCCTAGTTTAAGATCAACAATTTTATCAGACATAGATATCATAACAATCAGTTAGCCAAAATACAATAATCTTGTTTACCAACTATGATCAAGCAGTCAGTTGTAAGCAACATAGAACCTAGCACGTAAATATGTATCTATTCAGGTTGCTACAGGACATCTAGCTCAGCGATATGAAGTTATTAAAACAAATAACAGAAAATTAAAAGTATCAATCGTATCAGTGGTAGCAGAAAATATTAAACATAGAAAATATCATTTGAGAAGAATAAGGAAATTTACTGACATCAGTCAGTTATAACGTAGGACCAGGTACATATATGCACCGCATTCATAGAAGCAGTTAACTCAGTGGTGTAATATATAAAAGAAAGATTAGTTCGTAGGAAGAAAGATATGAAGAGATTTTAATCTCATAGTTTAAGGGAAGATAAAGAGTGTATACACATACGCCATTGTGATCGATTCTGAGCCATGTTACCCACAGTCTCTAACTTTTGGTTGCGATGTCACACGGATGTAACAAAGTGGTCTGCATCTACCAACATGGCTTGGACTAGAAGTTAGTGGCTTCAAGGACTGATGTCACGTTTTGGTTTGGCCGCCTTTAACTTTCTTCCAACCATCCCCTACACCGGTCAGTATTGTGCGTCGTGGTAATTTATGTTCAAGCGTACGTAACATGTGTCCCAACGACATCAGTCGATGAACATCCACAAGTGATTTATCATCATTCCTTAATACCCTACGTCTAACCTCACTATTACTTACCCTGTGATCCCAGCAGATGTGAGTAATAGTTCAAAAACATCTGTGATCAGATATTAATAGCTTACGAGTATCTTCTACTCTTAGTGGCCACGTTTCACAATCGTAAAGTAGAACAGAACAAACTGCCATGCAATATACTCGTCCCTTAATTGATAGACGGATATCTCGCCTTCGCCAAACGAGCTTTCGGAATCCGCGCTGAGATTTCGTTAGACATCAACCCATTTGAGCTAGTCAGACTTCCAAGATAAGTGAAATTGCCAACGCGTTCAACTACTTCACTCTCTATCCTTAGTTCAGATGTTGACGTAGGCCTGTCAGTCGACGGGAATGTTATTTCCTTCTGTATATCTATGATGAAGTTAAACAAAAATGGAGAAAGTGGATAGCCTTGACGGACACCACTTGAGGTTGCAAAAGTAGATGACAGCTCTGACTAGACTAGTGGTGTTCGAGTGAAGAGCCTTCACTTCTGACATAGTTAATGTTTATTAAAATAAATCACAGTAGTGTTTTATGACTTAATTTTAAAACAAATCCTTGTTTGGTTGACTTTATTTTTTTCTTTGTTGATCAATTCAACTACTTATTTTCCTGATAATTCTAACAATCCAACAACATATATAAAGCTCAATTGTTATAAATCCGTATTGTGTTTATTTGTGTGCACTGATTGATCACTGAGTGGTGACCAAGATCATGTTTGTCTAGCCCTTATTGCTGATCGAATTCTATCAATCAAGGTACAATTGGGTGACTCAAAATCACATATACTATGTTTTAATAATGAGTGATTGCTAGCAGTCAGTATTCTGAAATTGGGTAACCGGAGTTTGAACTCATGAAGGGCAATCAATTCCTTCAAGATTGTAGGTATGTCTAGGCGATAAATGCAAGTTTATAGAAACGTAAGTCAAAAACGGTTTCTCTAACCACCGGACATCAAAGCGTAGAATGATCAGAATGTGAATGATCAAGTTGAAAATTTTTAATGGCAGTCTCACATTCATCACAATATGGCAGATGATTTCACTTTCAATCATGTTTTCAACCATGAACACTTGATTAATCCTGTCTTTTAAGAATATCACCAACAAGAACGTGAAAATCTTTTTGGAAAATAGTTAATATCACACCTGCTGAAAAAGTTATTTGGTATCTTAATTCAGTCGATTAGTAGTAGATAATACATTCAAGTAAGAACTGATAGATACTGGTTTCATGGCTTAGTATGAATACTAACAACACTTGGATGTAGATACATCCAGCTGACGAGTTATAAATAAGATGAGTTACTTAAATACTTACGCCTGTTACTCACTATGGAGCATAGGCTTCCGATCAACATTCTCCAACTCACTCTGTCTTAGACCTTCTTTTCTAATTCTATCCAACTGTTGTTGATTCTTCTCATGTTTGTCTACATTTCTCGGTGTAATGTGTTCTTTGGTTTTTCTCTTCTCTTTTGGCCCTGACGATTCTCAATCAGTCAGTAACAACGTAGAACTTCGTACGTACGTACATCAGTCCGGATTGCCATACCATATTAGCATACAGATGCAATTGTCGATTCAAATCTTGTAGTGGTAGAGGTAATAAAAGTATAAACAGTCATCGAAAAGATTAGGATTTGAAGATGTTATTCAAGGAGTGCAACTCAGCGTAATAAATTTTGAAAGAGAAGAAAAAGGGACATGAAGTCAGAAGATTAAAATTTGGGAGAACAACAAGACTGAATGTACCTGCGCCACTGCAAATGATTTTGAGCCATGTTAAATTCCATTACTATTCATTGTCAAAAAATCAGTTAAACAATGTGCATCGATTTGATGTGTTCACTCACTTTATTCCTTTTTTTTCTTGACCGTTCTTCATCATATATCTATATATACTAAACTATACTACTTATTCATTGTTATTTCATTAGGTTTTTCTAAAGATCAACCAACACGTCGATCTGTACGCATACATGTTGGTACTAAACCAGAATATATACCGGAATTATCAGAGATAAATACAGATTCTGCAAGTTATACACCGATAAATGAAAATGTAATCAATAGTATTTTTATTTGATAAGATTATATTAATCATTTTATTATCACTTTTCTAATTGATGTATCCATTAATAATGTCTTACACTAGATTTCCATATGTTTTACTTCATTTAGTTGTAATCTCAATCATTCTAGTACGAAGGAATGTATGTAAATGTTTACTTTGTAATTAGTGTTTTTTTTAGCGTGTTAGTTTTCTATGTGATGGGGTCGCTAACCCCATGCTCAACCCTCCTCCTTTATCCGGGCTTGTGACCGGCAGTAGCCCCCGGAGGGACTGCAGGCAGAGTTAGCAACAATTCAATTTTGGATCAATGAGTTACATGTTCAAATATCTACTAAGACATCTTGAACTAACTGACATATTTCACTGAGTAATACGAGTAGACAGTCAAGAACAGTTTCTCCTTATTATAAAATCTTACATATGTGATACACTTTAAATAATACAACACAATACTTTTAACTTCGATATCTTTGGATAGCCAATTTGTAACTAAGGTAAAAACTGTATCCTATGTAGAGATGTATTGATGGCACCAAATACAATGAATTTAGCTAATAACAAATATGTTTGTAATATTTTAATTAATGAAATAAAAGGTTACTGTATTGGAGCAATGACACATAGTTATGGTAAAAATCATACCAGTTATTGTGAATTTGGTCGTACATTTAGACTGGAGTGATTTTATGAAGACAAAGGATAATTGGAGTTACTAAATAAATATATATTATTTGGTTGGTATGAGGTCATCAATTTGAGCATCGTTTTTTGGTTATGATTAACTAGAAAGATGTATCCGTTTTCCTCTTGTGTCTTGGATTAGTCACTGTCGACCAACTTGATGGATGGATTTCTTCCTAAGACAAATAGCTGTATCTTCATTATAAAAATTATACTTCTAGTAGCTTTTGTTATGAATCAATGTGTTGTAGTTACTAGCAATCATCTATGAATTATTCTATAATACTAGTTAGTTACTGTAGTGAAGATACTCATATTAGACAGTTATTCGTAATGATGAAAGCACAAAACTGCACTCTTTTTAACCATAACCAATTTCCATTTTTAACATAAGTTTGTAATATGGACTATTGATGAAATCATTTTCTATTAATGCCATATAGCTAGGAGGTAGAATTCAGGGTGTATGTTTTGTCCTATATGGAGCTCATCAATTAATTTGTATCGAATGTCCGGAGCGAAATGATACTGAGTTCAAAATCCAAACTGAATATCAATTCAGATGTAGATTTGTCTTTTTGATGAGTCTAAATTAAAGACGAAACGTATATTCTGTATTTCACTACTAACAACATTCTATCTATCTCTTAATAAATAAATATCTTATAAATATTTATATTTCTTTGTTAATATTATAAAATGATCTTAATAAAACCATCATTATAAACTAAGAATCATTGTACAAGTATTTCATCTTAATACGGGATTATATTCATTTGCTTAAATTGTAAATTTTCCCCATTTATTATTAATTTGGGGGCTATCTTGCCCCCAGAGTGGGAAGAGTCCACTCTCCCTCTCCAAATGCTCTCACATGGCCATGCGTATATAGCCTCTGCCAGGAAAGTTCTACTCATTGCCTTCTCATGGTGGGGGGTGTTGTTTACGAAATTGAGAGGACGAAAAGCGAATGTCCGACGCTTTAACAGGGTTGGTGGACACGGAGAGTCCACCTAGGGGAGTTGGAAAACCTTTATTGCAAACCAATGGTGCACATGGGCTCCAGTATCCTGAAGGAACAAATGGCGTATGAACCAATCGTTGGTGACCGACTACCATGGGAATGCATCTCCTTACGTTGCTCCACTGCCTTGTGGATCAGACCTTCAAGTCAAAGGCTCGGAAAGTGGCCTCCTAAGAAAACCCACTTGCTTCGGTTTGGACACCAAAACAGTATCATAGCCTTCACACATATCAAATGAGATTTGTGTGGCGCATATATATTTGGTGCCTCATGGTACCAATGTTTATGTGTTAAAATAAATAATAAATATTTATTATGAATTACCAATTATGTATGTTTACAACTTTGTTTTTCTTTTTTCTTTTTCTTTTTATAGTCCGAATTCTTTATGAAAGAGATCGATCATAAATCACCTATTAATGACCAATCAAACAATCATCTAATTAAAGGGAAAACTGTTACTACAAATGATGAATTAAATAAATCGATTGAAATTAATCAAATTAATCCAGTAATGATGAAATCATCCTCATCCTCATCCTCATTATCATTATCATCATCATATCTATGTCATTGTTTCTCTATTATTTGTATTCATAAAATGAAATTTAGTTTATTATATGCATTAATGAAAACTTATGGGAAAACATTATTATGGTCAGCATTTTTAAAATTTTTATATGATATATTAGTATTTGTTAATCCATTATTATTAAAGTAAGTGAATTGGGGTTTGTCTTATTTTATTTTTTTTTTTTTCTTATCATTGAATTTGAATCATTTACATTTAGGAATAGATTATTAATTGTATTGTGGGACCCTTTTGTTTTGTTGTCTAATGATATTGTCGAAAGGGCTCCACACTTTAGTGGCCCGTGGATCTGACTCCAATGAGATCGTAATGAATGTTTGTTATCACCTATCCTAGTATATATATTCATCGACTTAAATCGCGTTAGTCAATAACGGAATTTAGATAAGTCAAATAACAAGAATCGACTTGTGAATACATAAATTTTGTATATAAAGTGAATGGAATAGAGAGAAGAGAAACGACGCAGAGTGGAGATGGCTGGTAAGCCATTTCTCATTTAACCAAGAGTTAATCAATATTTATAGTTACACAAAAATAAGTTACAGACATGTGATGAGTAATGGGATAAGAAATGTACATACATATGCACTCATATAAAAACAATCAAGATTGGTCACCGGGACTGGATCTTCTGATGTTGCTCCACTCCACCTTGTGGATTAGACCTTTAGGTCGAAGGCTTCAGGTTTTTAACTCCTTAATAAAACCACCTTTTTTGGTTTGAGCGTCCGAGCAGTATCCCAGTCCTCTAAAAAACCAACTTACTTTTGTGACGCATATGTATTCAGTGCCCGTTTGTACCAATATTTATAAAGTATCATCCCACTTTTAATGGTAACATTTGTCAGATTATGTGAAAATACTGGAAATAGACATGAATAAAAGCAACATTTATGTATAGAATATAATAATAACAATAGTAATAATAATAATTGTGTTATTATCTACGTATGATAGATCTCATTTCATGAATTATTAAGATGTAAGTGTTAGAAAGTTTAAAATAATAGAATAAATGTCAGAAGAGGTTTTGTGGAGATTGTAGTAATTTCAGTAGTTGAAAATCATGAGTCCATTGAAGCTAGACCAATATGGGTCAGTTGTGAGATAGTAACTCACTGATGACAATGGTGGATGTGCCGCTCAATTTCGTGGATTGGTTGAACTTACACATTAACGCCGTTAGATGCCGGCCGGCTCAGTGGTCTAGTTGGTTAAGCGCCTGGCGCGAGACTGATAGGTCCTGAGTTCGAGTCCCGCGTGGCGGGATCGTGGATGCTCACTTCTGAGGAGTCCCACAATGGGACGAAACGGCCGTCCAATGCCTCCAGGTTTTCCATGGTTGTCTAGCTTCAATTAACTCATGATCTTAACTGTTGAAATAGAATAAATCCTGGTAGATTAAAACGAATTCTGTAAATAATCTTATAATCATTATGAGTGTTTAAATTGATTGATCATAATCATTTAAACATTCAAGGATTAGATTTATAACACTTTTCTATTCAATCTTGAATATTTATTGTTGAATATATCTTGATAGTGGATATTGGCTATTGCTAATGGAAATCAACTGAACTAGTAGAGGTTATTCACTTTATTAAATTATTTAATAATTCAGTTATGATATGTAAATATGAAATGATAAATCCTCGTAAAATATCTGAAAATATTTCATTCCTACATTGGACGTAGACAGTTTGTATAAACTGGTAAATATATTTCAAACTATTCGTTTTTGATACAGTGGTCTTGAGTGCTGTTACAGGTTTGAGGGTGGTTGTCACTTCCCGGTTGCCCACATCGTGGAAGGGTTCTTCTCGAGGTATCTGAAAATGAAATTGAATTAGAGGTGGTCTTAGTGATCTGAGAACGTGATCACAATACCCAAGAAACAACTGCTTGAGGTCGGTCACACATAACCATTTTATGAGTAGTTTTCGTGTTAGCTCTGTACTTGTTGAGAGCTTACCGCCGGAGACGGATATCCAGCAGCATCGCTGTTATGCTGGTTGTCTGATGGAAACAAACACCTTACTACCGTTACACCTCTGTACAGTCAGCAGTACCACTTTGCTTTCAGACGTTGGGATTGCTGCTTTTGGTTGTACCGTTCTTCAACCGACCCGTCTGGCATGGTAGGATCTTGAGGAACGATTGTTTCAGCCAGTTTAGCTCGATTTCTTCATCACGATAGGCAAGGTCGTCCCACACGTCAAGGTAGCAACAACGGTCGGGCTCAAAACCAATCACAATAACAATAGCAGTCCTTTATGTAAATTCGGTTTATAGTAAGAACTCTTACTACATAACTGAAGTTGTAATTGATAAGAAAAGTGTTAGACTAGAGAGTAATTACTAATAGTATCATTCCTCTGTGTGACAACACATTGTTTCGTATGATCATATTCAATCAATTGGTGATTAGTGTTCGTAACTACATGTTATTTGTGCTATCCATATTCATCATACTTCTCTAGTACTGATGGAAACTTGTGTTTGACTGTTTAAGATACTTTAAACTTTCTAGGCATGGTAGTAGTTAGAGTTGGGTAAACTTCTTCGGTTTTCTCTCACTCTCTTTTTCTTTCAATAACTCCGATGACTTTGTGCTACTTGGAACTTGACAGTAAAATATATTAAAAGTCTAGTATTTGAACGAAGAATATTCTTTTCAATAAATTCTCTTCAGACTCTACAATTATATATCCAAATTTATAATCCAAAAAATGACCAGTTTAAAATAAATCTCCACCCTTTGAGAGTTGTGGAGCCATTTTAAACAATTGAGAGATTGGGTCTCTACAATTTGAAACTGGGTGGTGTAGGTTTGTCATACTCACAAGTAGCAACTAGCGCGAACATCCCATTGATGATAGCCTACCAACCTGCTTAATATCCAATTCTAGTTACTGAAGTGCATTTTTTTCATCCCTATTTGTTTTGCCTTCCTTCACTGATTGACAATGCCCCCAAATGCCCTGGTATGGCCGAGAGTGGGGTGAGCCCTCCCTCCCTCCCTTTCGAAATGCTCTCACACGGTCACGCGTATACAGCCTCTGCAGGGAAGTCCTACTCATTGCCTCCTCGAGGCGGGGGTGTTGTTTACGAAATTGAGAGGACGAAAAGCGAATGTCCGGCGATTTAACTGGATCCGAAAACAATGGTGCACATGGGCTCCGTTATCCTGCCGGAACAAATGGCGTATGAACCAATCGTTGGTCACCGGCTACCATGGGACTGCATCTCCTCACGATGCTCCACTGCCTTGTGGGTTAGACCTTTAGGTGAAAGGTTCGGGGTGTGGCCCCCTAAGGAAACCACTTGCTTCGATCTGTGCGCCCGGGCAGTAATACAGCTCACACACACAAATATGGTGTAGCGCATATATATTTGATGCCCTCTTGTACTAATATTTATGTGTTCAAATAAATAAAAAACTGATTGACAATAAAGTATTTACATAGATTTAATCTTTTCCCGATTATTATTATTATTTGTTTAAAATGTTTTATAGGTTATTATTGAATTTTCTACAAAATACTCAATCAGAACCAATATGGCATGGTTATTTATATGCTATAGCAATATTTATTGATACATCTGTACAATCATTAATATTACAAAGTTACTTTCATATTGTATTCAAACTTGGTATGAATATTAAAACAGCAATTACTGCAGCTGTATACAGAAAAGTAAGTTCATATTCATACATTATATGAAGTGAATTGAATATAAGTGATTAGTTCAATGTTTCGGATTCTCTTTCAAACTAGGAATCGAATTCAATGTTTCCATCCATAACGAAGTCAAACATCTAATCATAGCCAAATCATGTACAACTTACTTACACTTTTCATACATGCTGGTTTATTTCAAATCCATAAATTTCTCAATGATAATTATTTTATAGTCCTAGGTTCGGCCATTTATAGGGTCTTGAATGGTGGTGGATAGTGCTTACAAAGTTTCATACAATAATGAGAAGCTTTATAACATTTCCTAGTTTTCCAGAGTTTTCTGTCTATGGCTAATCTGAAGTATAAAAGAAATTTCATACTGAAAACTCTTTTCTATTCTGTTTAAGAGTCTACGATTAAGTAATAAAGCTCGGTATCAATCAACTACTGGACAGATTATGAATTTAATGTCATCTGATGCACAACAATTTGTCCAATTAATGCCATTTATAAATATTCTATGGTCGGGACCATTTCAAATAACAATTGCTATGGTATTTCTATGGAGAGAATTAGGGCCTTCTGTATTGGCTGGTGTCGCTGTTCTATTGTTACTTTTACCACTTAATGTTTTGGTAGCACGTCGATCAAAAATCTTTCAAGTAAGTTGATGTTAAAGTAGCAACATGAATTATTAATTTACAAAATCAGTTTGTTTTTAATACATAGCTATTGGTTCATCCTACTGGAACCATCTTTTGCTATTTTTTCTGTATTGTATGGTGTTGTAGTGATTATAAAATTTGAATGTTTCACATTATAAACTCACTTTGGTTAGACAATGGTTTAAAATCAAGAAACAATTCAATATAGGACGCCTTAACATTCACAACTCCACATAAACTCATAGATTGATTGACGTTAGATATTAACACTGTTGAATGCTGACTCACTTGTTTAGAGTTTAAACGTTTACGCTCGAGACTGAAGTTTCTCAATTCATTTTCTGTGTGCAAGGTTGTTAATCCGTACTGGTGAAGAATCGCAGGGCGAGACAACCATTTACTGTTTCCAGGTTCTCAATGGTGGTCTAACTTCAATGGATTCATGATTTCATTTTTTTTTTTAAAAAAAAAACTCTTTTGTTTTTGAATGTAACTCACTTGTTTCATACCATTTATTCAAATTGACAAAATCAAATGTGAGTATAACGAATGTTCCTCTCTCACTCTCTCTCTCTCCTAGTCAACCTGACCCCAATTCATATGAAATTATCACACAGTGATTATACATATTTCAATGATTTGTCTACCTAATATCACCTTACATTCAACCTAACATGTTTAGTGAATGAATGAATGATCATCACTAATAAGCTTTAATCAGCTAATGTATTATTGTCCCACTTAAATATTGGTACAAAGGGGTACCGTATACATATGTGTACCATACAAGTCACTTGATTTATGTGTGGGTTGTGTTACTGTCTCAATGTCCAAACTGAAACAGTACATAATAAAAAGGTCAATTGATGAAATACTCATTTTTTTATTATTAAATTACTGAATGATGAATATATTTCGATGCAATTAGATTGTTTTTTTTTGTTACATTACAAAATGTAGGTGAGACAATATTTATTCATAATTGTCATCACTAACTACTATGATGAAAATGATTTTTGGTTATTAAAATTATGTAACAAAGGGTCAATATTCTTTTTTGAATATTCATCCTAATATGTATTACAACTAACTAACTAAGTGGATAACGCGCGGGCGTTTGGAGCGAACGGTACTGGGTTCGAGTCCAAGACAATGAACATCAGTTCTGAAATGCAGGTATATCCAACTGACGAGTCCCAAATAGGACGAAACGCGCATCCTGTATTCCACTTCTAGCCACTATCCATCTTTGTTTATAACTAATTAATTATTTTATGCATTATTTATTTATTTATTTAAACTTGTAATCATTGGTACAAGGAAGCACCAAATACATATGCGCTACATAAGTCATCCGACTTGTGTGAGGGCTGTGACACTGACCAGATGCCCAAACCCAAACGAATGGTTTTCTTAGGGGGCTTCAGTCGGAGCCTTCGACCTGAAAGTGTGATCCACAAGGCAGTGGAGCAACATCAGGAGATGCAGTTCTATGGTAGCCAGTGACCAACAATTGGTTCATACGCCATTTGTTACTTCAGATATATGTAGCCCATGTGCACCATTAGTTTGGAACGGGGGTTTCCCAACTCCGCTAGGCGGACTTTCCGTGTTCATCAAACTGGTTAAATCGCCGGACATTCGCTTTTCGTCTTCTCAATTTCGTAAACAACAGTAATGCCGCAAGAAGGCAGTGAGTAGGACTTCCCTGTCAGTGGTTGTATTGACGTGGCCATGTGAGAGCATTTAGAGAGCGAGAGCTGATTCCCTCCCCTCTCGGCCATACCAAGGCATTTGGGGGCACTATTTAAGTAACCTTTTTAGAATGTTATGTCTGAACAGTGGTTTATTTTGATAGAATGATGAGTAGACAAATTTGATTTAGGTTGTACATTTTGAATAATCTGGTCGAATATACTTGACATGTACATGCGAATATTTATCAAGTTTAGAACGAATAGTTCGACAAAAAATTGGGCTCCAAATATGGAGAAGTTATTATATGTGAAGATTATTATATTTGAAACAATCTCAGTGATTGAAATTTAGAAAAGTAATTCCAACGTTTCGTTCAGCAAGTTTGTCTGGACTTCTTCAGGGTTTAAATAAACAAAGTAACAACTATAAATAAAGGGATAAAGTAATGGATTATTATTATTATTATCAATGTTAGCCCAAATATTCAAGCAGGCCGCCTCAGAGAATAAGATGTTCTCTAGACCATAAAAAGACTGAAACTATCCGAACGAGAACGTGACAGGAATACGACAAATTGGTTATGTACACATGATGGGGATTTGAATTTACGAATAGCCAAGGCTACTATAAATCTAAAACTTCTCCCTTGACAATACCCATACAATGCTTTTAAAATTGTATTGACGTCAGCTCTATGTCCTATCTCAATTATATGTTGCTATCAACGAACTGAACCTAAAGCCATTTCAGCACATGTTCCATAACGTTTGGTTGTATTGTTCGATTATTCTTCCTCATGTATTTATACCCAAACAAACATGTCCATTGGTAGATGCAATAGGTTATGACGTAGTCATTCGTTCAATGTCTAAGCCCATGTGGGCTTATAGACCTAGTGTGTTTAATAACGATCGGTTTTGCAGTGTACTATGTTTTCTGGTTAGCTGTAATACGTTTAGGTTTGAAGAAAGCGATGATCCCCTGAACTGTGACATGAGATCAATCTATGAAGCTATTGAGTATTGGTAGAAGTAGATTATCTGATTGGAGTTGGGAGGTTAATGTTTGATGATACGACTTAAAATCAATTGCAGTAGTGCAAATAGATTCTTTCCAATCTCGATCCATATTATTATTCCATACACTTTATTCTACCAACTGATTGCTTCTATCCTCTTCTGTATCCTCCATGTTTAAACCTTTTACTTTCATTTGAACTAATTCTTTATCTCTCTACTTTGTTTTGACAACTTAGGTCGAAATACATCTATAGCAAACTCTTTGTTGTTTATGATTAATTGGATAGCTTTCACTGACTAGTTTTCTATCTATTCATTGTATTTGAACCGTAGAACTATTGAAAACAAGGCAGATTGGGTAGTTGTTTTCTAGTTTATAACTATTACTCAAGAATATGCGCTCACAAGCCTACCACGTATTAAACCCAGAAGTTTAGAGTGCTAATGGTGGTGAGAATCAAACTATAATAATCGAGTCATCCCTATTATCAAGTTTAGTCTATCCGCGATATACTGCTTCAATTATTCAGTTGTGCTGGTAATATTCGTCTCATTTCGACGTTATCAAACTCAACGCGTCGTGAATATGTCTTGAATTTCACTATCAACGTACGCAACTTTTATAGGTTGCTTTCGTCACTGATTGGTCTCAGTTAAGGTAGCGTTGAAAACCAGGGAGCACTGACACAACTGTTTTGTCTGAGCATGGGACCCTTTAGGAGTACTCACCTTGGATCGTGCCCGTGAACTTTATTCCACTCTGCAAACGCTTGACCATTAGAGCCAATGGGACGGCGCCCACTTTTATAATTACAACTTCAATCGATTAGTGATATTGAGCAACAGCCATCAAGTTCTATTTGTTACTACTGTTTCACTCTCGACATTCTGAACTCCACTTGTCGTAAATTTTAAGTAGGTCTTCAAGCAAATCTTTAAGTGGGTTACAAATGCAGTAACTACAGTAGTTAAGTGGAAGGAATGTTTAGGATATTAGTTTAATTTACAGGCTATATCTGTCACAAGTGGTGTGGGTACATACTGATGAAGCGTCTAGAATTGTTCAGTGACTCCTGATTTGCAGTGGTACCTCAACAGAAACTAATCTGTGACGAATACAACCCATAAATAAAATCAGTCTCTACGTCAACCCTCCAACTAAATTGAATATATTTTTTGTTTAATAGGGTGGTTAGCAGAAATAAGTCCAATACGGTTTTTTATAAGCTTGTGTTTTTCATAAAGCAAGAGTTATTACGTCATTTACGTCAGAATAATTTGTACCATGAAAAATCTTTATTTACTTAATACTACATATAACTTAGTGACTAGAAACATTGATAATTGTACAGAATTTATTTTGTTCGGTAGGCTAATTACGTCGTTATGCATTAATCGTTTCTTCAACAGCTGATATTCAAGATTAAATTTTTAGCAGTCCCTATCGGCGCTTGTGCATCCTGAGCAAATGCTTTAGTGTTTTTATTTCAGTTATAAGTATTAGGACATTTGAATACTGGTTAGTTATAAAATCAAGCGAAACTAGAAACACGGAGTCCCACAAATAATTTTATGTCTACTAAACTACTCAGTAACCAGTTGAGCTCTGAACCTTTGGATATAGTGCGTTGCTATTCATTCATAGGTATTGAATTGGAGTCCCGATGCAGCTGGTACATCTACCTTTTGAGTTCTTTACTGGGAAGAAACACGCTCCGTGGATTCCACTACTACGATCTGAATATATTGATGCATTGAAAATATTATATCAGCATAAACAGGTAAACTAGCATTCCTTCTACCATTAAGAGAAACAGTTTGTAGACTCGGTTGTTTGATGCCAATCGCAAGACGAGATAAGTCTCATCAAATGATTTCTTAAAATTATTTTGGTTGTTTTTAACCAATTGTGAAAAATGCATGATCATTGAAGATGCCAAACTTCTGTCTTTTGAAAGTACTTGCGATATTATTCAGATGATTCGAAACATCAAGGTTAACATTTTAACTAGTTCCTGGAATATAAACTTTATGCTTTGTGGTTTACATGTTAATTATCCTATCCAACTAATGAAGTAACATTTGGGCTAGTATTTCCCAATACGGAAATTCGATTGTAAACCATAACTGAGAGTTGTTACTGAATAACTTTTTGAACTGGCTTTCTACACAGTATAGTGTCGAAACTTAGTCAGCTTGAGAATCGTGTTGCCTTTTTTTTCTCTGATACTGAACCAAAATTCCTCATCAAAAGTACTGACTCCTATTACAGTTACTCAGTTATCTGTTATATTGAATATAGGACTCGGTATGTGTATGTATCATTCTAAGTTATCCTCCAACTTATAACGGCATTGGAATCGTTAAAACTTACTGATGCATACTATGAATGCATTGAATGTTGAGAAGCAACTCATCCTTCCTTTAAATTTTATGTTTCTAATAATTTTCTTTCATTATAATATTTACTTAGGAGAAGAAGTCTTCATGTGCAGATAGTCGAATAAAGTTTATTAACGAATTGATGAATGGTATACGAGTAAGTTTATTTTCATGAATATGTTATTTTGTTTCATAAAATTAACAATCTACGATATTTATGGTGGTACTTTGTTCCGTTTTTATTCCATGTTTTTCATTGGACCTGAAAAATGTTGAATAACAGATTCACCGAGTAACGTTTAGAAGGTCAATGAACTTGTGAATTGTTTTTTTATGTGTACCAACTCCCTGTGTTTAATACAAAAAACTCTTCGAAGATAACTTTGAAACGTGCAGTATCGCTTCTTTCTCATGGGTGTTCGATATCTCACCAAACTTCTAGGTCGGCTTAAAATTCATGGTTAGTCGTCTGTGTAGAATGTCAGTAATGTATACTTGAATTTAAAGGTCCCGGTTAGCACGTGAATCAAATTGACCTCCCTTGATTTCTTTATATCGAGTTTCATTGATATACCTGGTAAATATAAGCTAAAACTATCACAATAGGAATGTTCAGAGACTTCTCAAATACTATTCTAGGATTTCTATTTCACTAGAAATACCTTACTGACATTTATAGAACGCTTCATTGTATGTCTTGATATCTCCTATATATTTTATTGTTGGTAAAAGTTGAATGTTGAACATTATGATCTCATTTAGTTATTAGCTATATGGTAATCAATTTCAGGAAAGAATTTTATCCTGTTGAATACATTCGTCTAAGTAATATTTTCCAAATGTTGTTAGTGTTGTGGAAGTTCGTTTCATTTTGATTTATTTATTCATTTATTTGAACACATAAATATTAGTACAAGAGGGCACCAAATATATATGCGCCACACAAAACACTGAGAATGGGAAAAGAAAGAAGTAGGTAAGGTGCGTATATGGAAAAGAAGGAAAAAAAGAACAATAACGACCACAGATTAGCGTAAGGTAGTGTAGTAGTAATAAAAATAATAATAATGGGGGAAATGGAAAGGTACAATCAGAAGAAATCTTTCAGTTAAGGAAGATACAACCACTTTTTATGAAGTAAAAGAAGGTTACAGCAGGATCGCCACTGACTTCTATTCTGAGCTATATCTAATAACGTCTCTAGCCACTGTGATGCACCATCTCTAGGACCCCAGCCAAGGAGTCGTGAAGGACCAACACAAGCCAGCCCTTTGTAGCTCTCTTCCATATCCCGATACCATGTCATACACTGACCACCTCTCCACTTTTTCCAACCAGTCTCAGAGTCGGCAAATAATGCAGGACGTGGAATTTGCTGGGACGACATTCGTAGAACATATCCAAGCCACTGAGGTTGATGTTTCCAGATGGTGACACTAATTGTATTATCGTCTCTGTGCCCGAACATACGATGCCGAACCTCTGCATTACTAGCATTTTGACAGCTCAGAAAACACACTGAATTTATGAAGTTTTTCAGTAGTTGAAGATTATTATCTATCTTTTTTGGTTCTCAATCCTCCTAACAAGGTAAACGACTAAGTTTTTTTTGTTGTTGTTGTTTATTTCCATTTTAAAGGTATTAAAACTTTATGCTTGGGAACCATCATTTATGAGAGAAATTGGTCTTATTCGAGATCAAGAAGTTAAATATTTACGAAAATTCACATATCTTCAGTCTTTATCGTTTTTATGGCATTGTACACCATTTTTTGTAAGTTATTTGTTTATATTGTCTACTATCATTTTTATCATTCAATCATATTCATCGAAAAGATTGTATCATTATGTTTAGAGTAATTTGTGATCTGTGTCCTATTAATGTATAACGCGTAATGATACCCGCCAATTAGAGAATAGTGGCTTATCGACCGAACCAATAATGCAAAAACAAGTATGAACAGTCTAGAGTCCTTAACAGTATTCCTAATTCCCGCTTAGCTCTGCCTGTTGAGTCCAGAACATCAATCTCAGCCTGTGCGATATGAATCATGCATTTCAAATATGACTGGGTTTATATACCAAGCAAACAGACTACATCGTACCATAACATAGGAAACAACAAGGCTAATATCAAGGCAATCCGCACAGGGTGCCCATATGCCAACATGAGACTGATCAATTGCAGTCTTAAATAACAATGGGAAGATACAAGTAAAACAACACCAAATGTGGCTGTGAATGTGGGAGGCTGTAATTGATAGACAGAGCATAACTCAAGAATGGTAGATCATAAAATAATGATCTATAGGTCAAAATAAAGTTTATGATACGAGGAATAGTTTATATACTTAACAATTATACGATAAAAATATACGTATAGTATTAGTCCAGAAATAGATTCCAACAGTTACCATTCATTATTCTCTTCGGGATGTAACAAGATCATTTATGAAATACTCGTTTTGTATCTTAGCTGAATGTAAACTTAATCCATAAGAACTTTCGTCTAAATTTGATTGAATAGTTTCACAGCATTTAGGCGCTGAGTTAATTTGATACATTAAAGAGGAAGAATGCATTTGTAAAATCTCAGCGAATTCTTCGTGTTGATGTTCACTCTGGGACTCGAACCCAGTATCATTCACTTGAAACACCATCGTGTTATCCACTAAGCTACTGCGATGCATGTAACATCCAGCGGACAATTCTCAAACAGGACGAAACATATCCTGAATTCCGCTGCTATCCACTATCCCTCTTTGCTTATAATCTAATCATAATTCATAATTAAAATTTAATCATGAAAAGTAGTTAGAATCTATAGTGAATTTCTTAAAACAATTAATGCTTATTTTCAATTGATTTATTGGTATTATCACCCATATTATGGGTACCATAAATAACAAAGCTTGTGTACTGAATAATAAATTCTTTATATATTTATGGTTTTGTTTACATAGTCTATTCAATAAGTAATGATACAACATTTTCTGAGGATAGCATACATGGGAACAGTTTTATTTACGTGAATCAGGTGTTTCAGTAAAAAAAACCCCGAAAGAATGATATACATCCAGACAAATTACATGGGACTACATGAATTTAGAAAAGTTCATCAATTTGAGATGGTGGAGAAGATTTGTAGCTCAGGTGGATGATTTTGGTGGAGTTTTGTTCTCTGAGCTGGATGGTTTGGTCGTGGAGCTTTCATCGTTGAAAGCTCCACGACCAAACCATCCAGCTCAGAGAACAAAACTCCACCAAAGTTCATCAATGCTATACGACTTTAGCGAAACATATATAGTTAAGAATCAATTAATTACCTAAGGTATCTAAATCTTGAATGCTTTCACAGATATTTTTTTCACAATGGATGTAAATAAAGCTAAGACAAGTAAATATAATATAGAGTATATTAAAAGGGGGTAGAGGGTTAATGAAGTTGATATTGCATTTATCGGCAATATTTATTGGGAATACCAAGTACATTTTCATTCATGGTAAATCAGTTGATGAGGTTGTGAATATTCATCGAATAAGATGTTTGCGTCACATGTTACATATACCCGAACACTGATTACCACGACGCACAATGTTGACTAGTGTACGGGACAGTTGGAAGAAAGTAAGAGGTGACCAAACCAAAACTTGGCATCAGTCCACAAAGTCACTAACTTCTAATCTTAGTCATGTTGGTCGATGCAGACTACTTGGTTGGGGTTCGCGTGACTATCGTAACCAATGATTAGAGACTGTGGGTGACATGGCTCAGAATCGATCACAATGGCGTCGGTGTATACACTCTTTGTCTTCCCTTAAACTAAGAGATTAAAATCACTTCATATCTTTCTTTCTACGAACTAATTTTTCTTCCCGTACTATATCCTTATACACAATCCTTCTTTTATATATTACTACCATTGGATTGACTACTTCTATGAATTCGGCGATTATGTTGTTGTGCTCATGAGATATGATAACTTGGACTGGTTTTACGTTGTAACTGATTGACTACCTATTATATACTAAATAAATTTATTAATTTCTTATTTATCTTATTTCTTTTTTTTTTTTTAATTAGGTTGCTATTTCTAGTTTTGGTGTATATATATTAACATCGGATAAGAATATATTAGATGCCCAAAAAGCTTTTGTTTCATTATCTCTATTCAATATACTTCGTTTTCCATTATTTATGTTTCCAATGATTATAAGTAATTTAGCACAAGTAAGTTCAATGAAATGATTAAATGATCTCATATTTATTCTATGATGAGACTATTTCAGTTTAATCAATCGATCTAAGTATTACTACCTATCAAACAGTGTAACTCAATATGACAATTGAAAAGAGTTGGGAAGGATTGCCCAGTACAGGGTTGAATGAAGAGTGCTGGTGGGTAGCCTATGCTCCCCCACGACGAGTAACAGACGTAAGTAAGTAAGTAAGTACTTACTTACGCCTGTTACCCCTTCTTGAGGAGCATTGGCCGAATGTTTGATATATGAGAAAATATATTACTTTCTTTTTTCGTTTGTTTATTTATTTATCTAAACACATAAACATTGGCACAAGGAGGCATCAAATAGTTATGCGCCATATAAATCATTCGATTGATGTGAGGGCTGAGATACTGCCCTTATGCTTAAAACGAAATAGGTGGTTTTATTAGGAGATCACACCCAGAGCCTTTCACCTAAAGGTCTTATCCATAAGACAGTGGAGCAACGTCAGGAGATGCAGTCTAGTGGTAGCCGGTGACCAACAATTGGTTCATACGCCATTTGTTTCCTTGGGATATTGAAGCTCATGCGCACGATTGGTTTGGAATAAAGTTTATTCAACTCCTCTATGTGGATCCTCCATATCCACCAATCCGGTTCACTTTTCATCCTCTCAATTTCGTAAACAACATTGATGCCGCAAGATGGCTGTGACTGGAACTTCCTTGGCAGTGATTGTTTTCAAAGAGGGAACCCCCCACCCACGTTCGACCATACAATGGCATTTGCGTTTTTTTTAAAACATTTTATCTTAAAGTGATAACAATGTGAATATATTCTAATCTGGACAGTCATTTCATACTAGTTTGATGATATTTATTTAAAAGTTACTAGATTTCAATCCAATAGACAGTTAAATGTCAGTTGAGGTTAGACATTAACACCATTGGATGCCGCCTCAGTGATCCAGTAGATTAAGTGTTCGCGCGCGAGACTGAAGGCCCTGGGCTTGAATCCTGCTAGGTGGGATCGTGGATGCGCACTGCTGAAGAGTCTCACAATAGGACGAAACGTCCATTCAGTGCTTCCAGTTTTTCAATAGTGGTCTAACATCAAACGATTCATGATCTGAATCCAATAGAAAGTTAAATAATTCAATCCCATCTAGTATTATGGATAACTATATATCACATAAACATAACCATCAATAAACCCATTAGAAACTAACATATTACTTGACAGTTATTCTTTTATCGTTTGACAGTTTTTCTTCTTGAACTCTAACTATCCATATACTAGAAATAGGAATTCAATTTTCTATATTTTCATTTTCATCTATTTACTGATTATTAATTTTGCATAATTTTTTTCCCAAAAAAGAAAATTATATTGGTACCTATTAGCAGCATAGTAACAATTCACTATATTCATTTACATGAATATTTTTCATGTGAACTAATCGTTTTGTATAAATTAATTTATATACATGACAGAGAATGGAAATGTAACCGGCGCATTTTTGGACAAACAAACAAACAAAAAAAAAAAAACATAGTTATCATTATTTTCTTCCAAGTTCTCTTATCATTATGCATTGTCTATGCAACTTCACATAAAATAAGTTAATTCATCTTAGTAACTAGAATTTGGACAAATCATGTGAATGTGTATAGATATTAGTTAGTTCTATACAGAATTAGTCTTGGATAAAGATAAAATATTTGTGTATAAATCTTGTTTTATTACTACAACAACAACAACTACTACTACTGGTACTGCTGGTGCAAAATGTATCAATATAATTACCTTATTTTACACTCTTCATTGTTACATCAAATAAGATTAAGTAAAACAACCTTCTTCAATTTGCATATCGTGGATAATATCCCAGCCCTCATACATGTAGACAAATTCATGTAGCGCATATCTATTTGGTGACTTCTTCTTCTACTAATGTATATGTGTATCAATAAATAATAATTTTAATGGTTGAGATCATGAGTCAATTGAAGCTAGACTATCATGGAAAATCTGGAAGCATTGGACGATCATTTCGTTTTAATGTAGGATTCCTTTACAGTGTGCATCCACGATCTCGCCTCGTAAGATTCGAATACAGGACCTATCAGTCTCGCGTGCATACTCTTAATCTCTAGACCACTGAACCGACGGAATCCAATGGTCACTAAATTGAGCGTTACATTCACCATTGTCATTAGTGAGTCTAGTGGTAGTGGTCTCGCGCGCTAAACTGGTAGGTCTCGGATCTGAATCTCGCGAGATAGGATTGTGGATGCGTACTGTTGAGCAGCCCAACAATACGACGAAACAACCATCCAGTGCTTCCAGGTTTTTCATGGTGATCTAGCTTCAATTGACCCATGATCCCAACCTATTGAAATTACATTAATATCCACAAAACCCCTTCTGATTCAAATAAATAATAGATGATAGTTTACATCACAAAACAACTTTAGTACACAATTGTTCAATAATGAAAACTGTTAACAAGAAAAAACTATCTAAATTATCTATATCCTTGTGTAGTTATAAATTTAACAGCTCCTGTGAAACCAGTTATATAAACACACACAAACACACACCTTGTGACAAGTTCGTCATCGTACTGCCGAACACCATCTTACGTAGTTGAATAAACAGCACTCCATTGATGCAAGATATCAGTTCGACTTGAATATGGCTTATAAAATTATGCATTGTATTTCATCAAATTTACTGCATAGTTCAAGAGTTCGTCTTTCATAGGTAACAATAGCTATCAGAATTCATTTTTAATAATCTAAACGTTGTAATCAAAAGAAGTTTGTAGAACGTATATCTTTATCTTTTTTCTCACTAATATAGATCACAACAGAGTGAGTTAAAGCAGAGCTTTGATTCCTCATTGTTCTTCTTAATCTTCCTTGGAATACAGGACGTACGTTTCGTCCTTTTTGGGACTCTTCAGCCACGTGTACCTGCATCTCAGAGTTGACGTCCACTGCAGGAGGGACTCGAACCCAGTGTCGTTCGCTTCAAACGTTATCGCATTATCTACTTAGCTACTGAGTCCTGATGGCCATTTGCTTATGCAATAGGGTGAAGTTGAAATTCACTTTGTGTTGTTTACTTGAATCTTCCCATAGATGTTTAGGACTGCAATTGATCAACTTTGAGATACAGGTACATCCAGCTGACGAGTCCCGAATAGGATGAAAACGCGCGTCAATCTAGATTCCATTGCTAGTCACTATCCATCTTTGCTTATAATGCTTGTGGATTAAGGCAGTATCGAGGCAATATGTACAGTATGCACATATGCCAATATCACACTGATCAATAGCAATTTTAAGCCTCAATGAAAGATTCAAGTAAACAAATACCAAGTGAATTACTTAGATTATTATAATTAACTGATTATCCTTCTTCTAATCACTTAGTAGTTACTTGTGAAACTGTAATATTGTTATGTAACACTATTGTGAATGAATGTATGTATGCTGCTTGTTTTAGTCTGTGAGTAAATTTCTTCATTGTATATATCATTTACTCATCGGTACAGAAACACACTCAACAGTCATTAAAATATTCTTTTTAAGATTGTTATTTACAAAAATGTTTCTTTTTGTATTCTTCTTTTAGTGTTATGTTTCTATTGGTCGTTTGACTAAATTTTTGGCTCATACAGAACTTGATATGGAATCTTATTCAAAAGAGGATACACTGGTATAGCTGCAGTAGTTGAACGTGGAGTATTTGGTTGGGATCCAGATGAGGAACCGACTTTAACAAAGTAAATTTATTTAGTCTTTGAATCTTACTTATTCGATATCATGCTTTATGTTTTGTTAACCTTAGTATATTTCTCGGCTACAAAACATTATTTCAACAAATACTTACCTGAAAACATCACCAATACATGACTTATGATTTTCTGGTTATGTCACGAGTTGGAAATACGAATCATTAGTTTTAAGTCCAATCTCTGGTTGTTTCGTACATTACTTATCTATAGTCAGTCCAATATGACAGCTATCAGAAAAAATCTTAAATTAAGATATTCAGTTAGTTAAATGAAGCTTCATAGTGCAAAGTTTATATACGTTGATATACATATATATTTCTGATTGAGATCATGAACCAATTAATGTTAGACCACCACAATTGAAAACCTGGAAGCACTGGACGGCCATTTCGTCCTATTGTGGGATTGGTTGATGCTAGAAACTATCACCACTGGATGCCGGCTCAGTGGTCCAGTTGTTAAGCATTCGCACGCGAGATCGAAGGCCCTGGGTTCGAATCCCGCGAGGCGGGATCGTGGATGCGCACTGCTGAGGAGTCCCACAATAGGACGAAACGGTCGTCCAGTGCTTCCAGGTTTTCAGTTGTGGTGGTCTAACATTAATCGGTTCATGATCTCAATCAAAAACTTAATAATCTCCACAATTCCTATACTAGTAATATATATTTCTGTTAGAGGGAAAATAAAAGATCATATACAACAAAGAATATCGCAAAATACACTAATGACAAGGACTAAGAATTGTTATTATCAGCTGTATGAATTAAACTAGTCTTGTTTTTACGAGCCACAGTTAACGGGAGCTTAAGGAGAGATGGCAGAAAGAGGTAATAACTTAAATTCATATCTTTTCGAGTTGTTACTATCCCGTTATTTGAACAGCAGACAAGCGACTGTTTACCGTAATCAAGTTCCAGCCTCTTCTGATTTCTGACTAAATACTATATTTACACCAGCCAGACCATGAGAATTAGCATTTGATTCCTCTGATATACGAAGGATGAATTGTACCAGTTCTCCCTATTAACTAGGTGGATGATCATGCTTGGACCGTGTATAGGAGTTTCAGAGAGGCGGTAGATGTCAGCCGACACAAGATTTTAGAACTCTAGCTAATAAAGCTTGCCGTTTTGATTGAACACAAAGTTCGAACATGAAAGCTTATTGTTTAGACCTCAGTCGCCGGAGACTAGAAATAACAGTTTTTGAAGTGAAATTGTTTATAGTAAGGATAAACGAAACGAAGGTATTTGATCATTTCATCTCCTTGTACTAATTTGATGTAGCAATTTGAATAGATGAACATATGTACCATGTTCTATGTTGCTTAGAACTGATACACTGATTGACAGACTGACTTATTCGTAGTGATTTTTATTCAAATAAGTATTGATATGATTCTGAACTAATGAATTCTAGCTTAATTGTTTAAAAAGTATCGTTACGTTTTGGATAATCTAGCAAAATGTTTAGGGTGTACCTCATGTTCGTTAAGGTTTCTAGGTGAATATGATTGAGGTTTGGCCTTTTTTATTTCTAAGAATTTTATTAATTACTTACTGTTAATCCCATGTTTTTGTATTTTAATAATGTTCATTGAATAACAACACTTCACTAATATCTAGTTCGCGTGCGAGACCATAGGTCGTAGGTTCAAGTCTCATGTGTGTAGGATCGTGTATGCGCTCTGCTGAGGAATCCCATACTAGGTAGAAATGGCCGTTCAGTGCTTCAGAATGTGTAAATACAAAATTCTTTCCTATCAGAAGTTGTTGGTAGACAAAGATAAAGTTTCTATAAGTTAAAATCAAATGTCTTTTCAATGATCCGTAGATTTTGATTATTTATCTACTTATCAGAAGGGGTTTTGTAGAGATTTTTTTTAGAAATTTCACTGGTTGAAATCATGAGTCAATTGAAGTTAGACCACCATGGAAAACCTGGAAGCACTGGATATCAGTTCCGTCTTTGTATGAGACTCCTCAGCAGTGCGCATCCACGACCTCACCCCCTGAGAGATTCGAACCCGGGACCTACTGGTTTCGCTTGTTCATTATTTTTGAGGAGCAGATGACTAACACAGCCATTTTATGTTTGTAACCCATTTATTAAACATACAGTTTTTTAAAAAGACTTAGCTTGCTTATTTTGTCAGTCATTAGTGTAATCGTTTCTGTCTACCTTCTTATCACTCCAGATCTTTCCTTATGATGTATCTAACGGATTCTTTTCATAATGTTATTTTATAACTTAAATTAACTTCAGTCAGTTGACAATATTGTATGACTATTTTCCACTGACCTTAATAGATTTATAATAATGTGAAGGGGTTTTGTGGATAATATAGTAATTTTAATAATTAAGATCATAAGTCAATTGAAACTAGACCACCATTGAAAAATTGGAAGCACTGAACGACCGTTTCGACCTCCTGCGGGACTCCTCAACAGCGCGCATCTACGATACCGCCTAGCGAGATTCGAACCCAGGATCTGTCAGTCTGCACACAAGCGCTTAATCACTAGAACACTGAGCCCGGCCGGCATCCAAAAGTGTTAGTGTGTAACTTCAACCAATCCACGAAATTGAATGACACATCCACCATTGCCATCAGTGAGTTACTATCTTACAACAGACCTAATTGAACTCCACTAGTCACTGCTTCTTACTAGAACTCCAGGATATATCTCTTGAAGCCAGTCATTAGTTCTTCTACGTTTTCCATGATAGTTAATCATACTTTATTATCAGTTATGTCCATACAAATGACGTGAAATGATGATGATATTACTATTTGTTTATTAATTAAAGTGATAAATTCTTTTTTAGACATAAATTTTTTCATTCATTTGTATTATCAGTTTATCATCTATAGTTAATACTTTGTATATCAATGAATCAATTTCATAATGGAATGTTTACTGTTTTGTCTAGTCTATTTGTTATAATGAACTCATTTAAATTGATCTATGTCTATATGATATGAAATTAGGTTAAACTTTACAAAAGGGTTATATCATCAAAATTTTAGTGATAAATTGGAATGTTGTTTGTTTGTTTTCATACATAGATCAAGATTATGATTTAATGAATGAGTTGAATGACAAATTTTACACTTGATTTCTTACGTTGTTGATTTACAAAAAACTATTCTATTGAGAATAGATTGATTGTACTTGGTAACAGAATTCAGAATGTATGTTTCATCTTACTTGAAATGTTTCAGTTAGATGTATATCAGTATGTGTTGATGTTCACGTTGAGACTCTAACTTTGTGTTTTGTTTTAAATGCATATTAGATTATCGACTAGTTTGTTAAGACCATTTGGCTACTAATTGATTCACTGGTTATAATGTGTTTGAATGATCTCATTGTTGATATTCAGGACGGGGATTTAAATCAGTGTTTTTTTTTGGCATATATGATTCATGTATGGATCGCTTCAACATAGCCGTTGAGTCGTAAGTTGTTTATGGTAGATAGACTGAACAAGTTAATCGCTATCTGATTTTAGTAGCCGTGTTTGACGTTTGAAGTTAATTGTACTGGTTTGAAGCCTCAATGCGAATCAATACAGTGGAATATGGATACATTCAGCTGACAAGTGCTAAATAAGATGAAACATGTACCCTGCATTCTACTTGTGAGATTATGGCTAGTTTGGAGGTAGTTCACACTGAGGTCACATATGCCAATAATCACTAAGCAAAATCTAAGCGTGAATATCAATAACGAGTTAACTTAAACTCTTAATTATAACGATATAAAATATTTTTGTGTACATATTTATCTCTCTTTTGTACATGTATGCGAACCTAAACATTCAATCAGGTATAAACAAGTTGACAATAGTAAGCCATGGAATACCGATTTAATGTTATAAAGGGAATATACTCATTGGAAGACTTGAAAATCCTATATACAATCCTTGATAGTATTATGACTATACACAGTAGTCTCGTCGTATTAGGATGAAATAGTTTTTTAATGTCACATGTTTTTCAAGTCATATAATCTATATTTTTGTGATTATCGTCGGCGAGACTATCAGTTTATGGACGAACCAATCATGTATAAGATAACACGTGTCGAATTACTCATATTTGCGCGATAAAGTTCACTCATCCATTATAACTAATGTCAGTTCGTGATGAAAACCTTAGAAATTTAATTCCATGCACCATGCAACAGACTAATCATATGAAGTTCTGATGATGGATAACGAGTATATATATCTACCTTTGCCATCATTACAACAAGTAAGTGGCTAGGTGAATTCATCAGTTTAGTAGATAATGTACTCACACTAAACCTTGTGGTTTAGTGTGTGACGAAATCTCAGCACGGATACAGAAGGCTCGACTAGCTTTTGCCAACTTGCGTCATTTATGGCGTAGGCGAGATATCCGTCTATCAACCAAAGGACGTGGCAGTGAAATATGGCCGGTAAGAGTAGAGGATATCCGTAGGCTACTAGTATTTGATCATAGGTGTCTTCGAAACATTGCTCGTATATCATGGGACCATCGAGTAAGTAACACAGTTGTTAGGAAACGGGTACTAGGTAAGGATGGCAAATCAATTGATGAAGTAGTGAAACTTCATCAGTTGAGATGGCTGGGACACGTGTTACGTATGCTCAACCACCGACTGCCTCGACGTGCTATGTTCAGTGGTATAGAAGTAGGTTGGAAGAAAGCTAGGGGCGACCAGACCAAAACACGACACAAGTCCATGAAGTCACTGACAAGTGGACTGAGTCATGTAGGTAGGTGTAGACTATCTGGTTGGGGACCGCGAGATGATAGCAACCGATGGTTAGAGACCCTGAATGACATGGCTGAAAATCGTTTGCAATGGCGCAGGTGCATCCACTCTCTGTGTTCTCCCAAATTCTAATCTTCTGGATCCTTCATGTCCCTTTTTTCCTCTTTCCAAATTTATTTCACTGGATTATACTCTTTAAATAACATCTCCGAACCCTAATCTTCCCGATTACTGCTTATACTCTTATTACCTCTACCACTACGGGATTTGAATCGACAACTGCATCTCTGTGCTAATGTGGTATGGGAACTCGAACTGATGTACGTACGTACGAAGTTCTACGTTGTTACTGACTGACTGACTGACTGCTAGAAGCAATATATTCTAGTTTCAAATCATAGTGTGTCTACCAATAGTGAAATGCAAAAATACATCCTAAATCCAACTACTTGTTACAATCTGAAATTACTTTATAACTTTCAAAAACACCTATTATAGTAGTGAATAACAATAATACCTCGTTCATTTTACAAATGATATCTTTTTTTACTGTATTCACTCTTCTCTATCTCCATCCTATACTCAAACATAAACTGTGTATTTATTTATATCTATAGCATTTCTATTCAATTCCCTGAAGGACAACTGACAACAATTATGGGTAGTGTAGGTTCAGGTAAATCAAGTTTATTACATGCATTACTTGGTGATATGGAAAATTTCAATGGTCGAGTTAATGTTAAAGTAAGATATTTATTATTTTAATAAAAACAAGTATATTTCTTAGTTTATTTGTTATTTCTTACATGATTATCAGAATCATTTTATAGGTAAACTGTTGTTGTTGTTGTTCTTGTTCTTGTCATATATTTGATGACAATAAGGAGATATATAACATAAAAGATCAATAAATATGACAGTGACAAATTCATTTTTCGTAATTTCAGTCACATACAGATCCTAACTAGATTATTATTGAAAAACTCAAAGGGACTGAATAACTCTTTTGTCCTAGTATTGAGATGTTAAGGATTCTAGATCCTCAGAAATCACTTGGTAAATTATAATATATTGAAGAAGATTCATTTATGGACTATATATAAGTGTTATGCTGAATAATACGCCTAACCTAATAGACTACTGAGCCGGCATCCAATAGGGTTAATGTCTAACTTCAACCAATCCACGAATTTGCGCGACCATCTTCCATTGTACTAAGGTAGATACCTGTCTCTGCCCAACACGGATTAGCTCCATTAGTCACGGCTTCTTACTAGAACTCTGAGAATTCCCTCACGAAGCTAGTCATTAGTGAACACATAGTAATTATCAGTATGCGGTTGTGGAGATTATTAAGTTATTGATTGAGATTATGAACCGATTGATGTTAGACTGTTATTAAAAACCTGAAAGCACTAGATGGCCGTTTCGTCCCATTGTGGGACTCCTCAGCAGTGCGCATCCACGATCCCTCTCGAGGACGAAACAACTGTCCAGTGCTTCCAGGTTAAAAATGACGCACAATTTTTCAACGATGTCTATATTAACACATATACATTGCAAGTCACTATCTGCGAGAATGATTAGTGATTAAATAGTCCTTCGTTAAAATGACCTTTGGATATTCCATCCGACACGCCGGTTTAAATATAAAGTCTATTTCATGTAAATTATTCTCATGATTATGCATTACTGTCAATTGATTGAACTTGGACACTAAAATTACTGGTTGATGGATCGATGATTTAAAGGCCTAAGCATTCACTACTTAAATTCTTATAAGTTTTATTATACTGAATACATGAGTTCGAGACTTGTTAAAAAAGTATAGTACACTAAAATTAATTGTATTGTATCCTTACTACTAGCCAACATATGATCATTATCGATTGCATTGAATAAAATCGGACTTTGTGTTAATATGGTTTAACTTTTTCGAAACTACGACTGTCTGTAAATCGTTGAGTACATTACTTGATAACGCATATGGTGTATCTTCTCTACAATAAAATATGAATTAACACAGAAAGTGGAATTGCGATGAAGGTTAACTGAACAAAAAAATCTTTGATTTGGTATTATTTGGCTTGTATCTTCCCATTGGAACAGGGTGGATCTGATGCAGATGTGAAGGTACGGATCGGAAAATCAAGAGCAGCATATTTACAACTGAGGAACATCTGGAACTCAAAGCAACTGTCAACCACACCAGGTCAGGATTTTCAATACAAATGTCAAGACAGTTCTATTGTATGTGTCGGAAACCTGGAGAACTACGAAAGCCATCATCCAGAAGATACAAGTGTTTATTAACAGTTGTCTACGCAAAATACTTCAGATCCGTTAGCGGACACTATTAGCAACAACGTACTGTGGGAGAGAACAAACCAGATCCCAGCGGAGGAAGAAATCAGGAAGAAGCGCTGGAAGTGGATAGGACACACATTGAGGAAAGCACCCAACTGCGTCACAAGGCAAGCCCTCACTTGGAATCCTGAAGGCCAAAGGAAAAGAGGAAGACCAAAGAACACATTACGCCTGGAAATGGAAATAGACATGAGAAGAATGAACAAAAATTGAGTGGAATTAGAAAAAAAGGCGGAGGCCAGAGTGGGTTGGAGAATGTTGATCGGTGGCCTATGCTCCATTAGGAGTAACAGGCGTAAGTAAGGAAGTAAGTAATCTTCCCATTGAGGTTTAAGACTGCAATTGATCAGTCTGTTATCCAAGTGAATTGAAATTCACCCCATTGCACAAGCAAGTGGCTATCAGGACTCAGTGGCTAAGTGGATGATGCGATGGCGTTTGAAGCGAATGGTACTAGGTTCGAGTCCAGAGTGAACAGATGCAGGTGCATCCAGCTGACGAGTCCCGAATGGGACGAAACGCGCGTCCTGGATTCCACTGTTAACCACTATCCATCATTGCTTATAAAAAATCTTTGGTTTTTGGAGATCATTTATTATCATACTGTATTATTATTATTATCATTATTATTGGTATTAGTGTTGGCGAGACTATAATTTACGGGCGAACCAATCAGGCATAAGATAACAAATCTCGAATTTTGGTTAAATAGAGTTTTAGCATTATAATTGATGTCAGTTCGTGATGAAAACCCCCTTTAAATCTAATTCCTAACTCTAACCATCAACTGTAAATCATAATTCTAATCCCTCTCCCACAATGTTTTATAACCGTCATTTGGTCCTAGTTATTATAAAATTTATCCCATTCAAAACATTTACTCATAACCATGTACTTTTCTTATATTCATTGCCATTGTTTAAACTATTCTTGAAATTCATTTTAAGTGGCATTCTTCATACATATATTTCATCATTTCTTTTATTGTTTCATTATATGCTTAATGATATCTCTTAATAATGATTTCACATTTCACAGATAATAAATTCATTGATGATGACCAAGTTCAATGAGAAAAAGGAGATTGATCTAACTTTAAGATATAAGTAAAGATATTAAGGAGTTGTTTATGTATATGGTGGAGTATTACCTTTTATGATACTGACGTCTTTTTTTTTCTGCTTAAGAATTATGGATTAAGGAGTTTAGTTAGCTTATGATAGTTCACCAAATCAGATGATGACAGTGTTAATCAGTTTTCATAAGTAGTAGATTGATATTATCATATTACTAATAATACACAACTAATCTTATATATGATTGTATTGTAGTGAATGGAACACGAGTGGGAACAATCGAATTACATTAAGCAAAAAAATTACAGAGTTACTTGGTTAAATACAAAAACCATACTATAATACTTAATTTGTAAAATGTTCAATAATTGTCTCCAACTCTATTGTTCTTACATTTCCATACTAATTGTTTTCTATTCTCGCTCTTCCTTTCTTGATCTTCCCCATCTTCTACCACCAGATATTACATTCCTGACTCGCGTCATATACTACTTATATCACTATACGTAGCACGGACCACGGTATTAGTGATTAAAAGAGTTATAATATACATCATTATTCATGAAGATTATGTCTTATAATTTGTAATTGTACAATCTAATTAGACAATATCATACAAAATTATTCTACTAATAATTTATCACTGAATTTCGTGGATTAGTTAAAGTTACATATTAACACATTGGATACCGGTCAGCTCAGTGGTTTAATGGTTAAGCGCTTGTGCGCGAGACTAATAGTTCCCGGGTTGGAATCTCGTGAGGTGTGGTCGTGGATACATACTGCTGAGGAGTCCCATAATAGGACGAAACGGCCATTTAGTGCTTCGAAGTTTTCTATAATGATCTAACTTCAATAGACTCATGATCTCAACTATTGAAATTACTATAATATCCACTAGAAAAACCCCTTCTGATATAAATTTAATTAACCTATTCAGTTGTTAATCGGATAAAAATTCGTTATAGTTTTCAGAATAATAATATATGAAAGTCAATTATCTAATTTTAGTTACTAGTTCATTTATTTTGATTAATAAAAAAAATATTTCAACCAGTGAAATGACTAAAATCTCCACAAAACCCCTTCTGATAATCATCATCTGGTTACTAGTAACTGACTTCAAGAGATACTCCTGGAGTTCTAGTGAGAAGTCGTTACCAATGGAGTTCAACCAGATCTGTTGTGAGATAGGAACTCACTGAAGACAATGGTGTATGGTTGCGCAACTTCGTGGATTGGTTGAAGTTAGACAAGCTCAGTGATCTAGTTGGTTGAAAAAATATTATTTAATGATGTATTATAATATACCGATTAATTTATTATTATTTATTTATACGCATAAACCCGGGTAAAGCACCGGATATTCACTTTTCGTCTTCTCCATTTTGTAAACAACAGTAATGCTATGAGATGACAGTGAGTAAGACTTCCCTGACAGTGGTTGTATGCATATGACTAGACTATCTAAGAGCATTTGGAAAGGAAAACAGAGCTGACTCTCTTTACTTCAGCTGTACCAGGTCATTTGGGATCTTACCGATTAATTGATTGATATACTTCATCAATTTATTTGTATATATTCATTTTACATTATATATATTTATATATAAACTTATGTATTTTATATCTATTAAACACGTTATAGGGTACTGTAGCTTATGTACCACAACAACCATGGATATTTAATGCAACATTACGTGATAATATATTATTTCATCATTCATATGAACCAATTAAATATCAACAAGTATTACATGCATGTAATTTAATCCCAGATCTTGATTTATTACCTAATGGTGATATGACTGAAATTGGTGATAAAGGTATTAATTTATCAGGTGGACAAAAACAACGTGTCAGGTAACTAGAATAGTTTTTTATAAGATATTATCCTATTTCATTGTTTTCTTTTGTCCTCTTAATATTCTCATTATTGGTATAAATAGTTGAAATGTTGAAATTCTATTTAATTGAATACATAAATATTGATATAAAAAGGGCATCGAATACATATGCGCCACACAAGTCACTTGATTTTTGTATGTGGGCTCTGATACTGCCCAGGTACCTAGACTGAAACATACAGTTCCCTTAAGAGGCTACGCTCAGAGCCTTAAACATAAAGGTCTAGTCTACAAGGCAGTGGAGTAATGTAAGGAGATGCAGTTCCATGGTAGTTGGCGACCAACAATAGGTACATACACCATTTGTTTCCTCAAGACCTTGGAGCACATATACATCATTGGTTTGGAATCAGTGTTTCTCAACTCCCTAAGTGAACTCTCCGTGTCCATCGAACTGGTTAAGTCGCCGGACAATCGCTTTTCGTCTTCTCGATTACGTAAACAACAGTAATGCTGCAAAAAAGGCAGTGAGTAGAAATTCCCTGACATTGGCGGTATACGTGTAGCCATATGAGAGCATTTAGGGGGGGAGAGCTGACTCGCTCCACTCTCGGCCATTCGGGGGGCGAAAATTAATTTATTCAGTTTATTGATACTAATATTAGTGAGTATGTAAAGTTTTAAAACTCACACAATGAAACGAATTCACATCTATCCCACAATGTGTTTTTTGAATTCATGTTCAAAAAATTAATCAAAAGAACTTATTCAATGGAAAATTAGTGAAACTTGAAAACCCCCAGCTAATTGAAATCATAATAACCTGACTTCTTATTTTAGGGACTCTTTCAAAGAAGCCACTGGTATTGGTTTATAAGTTTCATAATCGAATACTGTAAGGTATTCATCTAAAATCAATTACTTCTAACTAAATTCTAATCGTTTTTACATAAAGTTTAGCCAGGAGGTCCACTCATCGACTTGGAATACGCAGATGACATAGTCCTGTTTGGTGAAAACTCTGATAAATACAGAGTCTTCTGGTAGTACTCAGAAGCAATCCCAGGATGTTTGTAATACGTTTCTCCCCCTCTGAATGTAACTTGTTGCTTTAGGACTGGCCTGCCTCAACACCTAAACTAAAGATAGGAAGTGGAGTAGTCGAACGCGTCTATAACTTCACTTATCTTGGTAGTCTGACCAACTCTAATGGCTTAGTCTCTGATGAAGTCTCTGTACGCATTCGAAAAGCTTGTTTGGCTTTTGGCAACCTACGTCACCTATGGCGAAAGAGAGATATCCATCTATCAATTAAAGAATGAGTGTACTGCGCGGCTGTTCATTCTGTTCTGTTTAACGGCCGCGAAACGTGGCCATTAAGAGTAGAAGATACTCGTAGATTGCTAGTATTTCACCACAGATCTCTTAGAAATATTGCTCGAATCTACTGGGATCACCGCATAAGTAATAGTGAGGTTATGCGTAGGGTATTAGGGAATGATGGTAAACCAATTGATAAGGTTGTTAATCTTCATCGACTGAGATGGTTAGGACACGTGTTATGCCCCTGTAAATCATTCGGTTTATGTGAGGGGCTGAGAAACTGTCCGGGCGCCCAAACCGAAGTAGTTGGTTTTATTAGGGGGTCACACTTGGAGCATTCAACCTAAAGGCCTGATCCACAAGGCAGTGGTGCAACGTCAAGTGATGTAGTTCCATGGTGGTCGATGACCAACAATAGGTTCATAAGCCATTTGGTCCTTAAGGATACTGTGCACCATTGGTTTGGAATCAGAATTTCCAACTCCCCTAGTTGAATCCTCCATTTCCACCAACCCGCTTTTCGTCCTTTTAATTTCGTAAACAACAGTAATGCCGCGGAATTAAGTGAGTAGGACTTTCTTGGCAGTGGCTATGTACACTTGGCCACGTTAGAGCATTTGGAGAGGGAGAGCTGACTCCCCACTTTCGGTCGTACCAGGGCATTTGGGGCAAGTATATACCTTGGACCACTTCTGTATATTACATCATAAACGACTGATCAATCCTTTGTTTTATTTGGTTATTTATCATTTACTTACGGCAGACTATTGAAGTACATATATTCAGCTACTGTTATTTACAAACCAAGATAACTCTATTTTCCTTCAAAGAATAGAGAAGTTTTACATGGCTCAAAAACGTCTTTATGACTGGTAATGCCCGGTTTTTCTTTTTTAAAAGCTAATTTTCGTTAATAACAACTAACTTTCATTTGTTATAGTCTAATCAATATCATGCTTCATATCTTTATGTACGTTTATTTTCTTTTTGTTGTTATTAGCCTAGCTAGAGCATGCTATGCTGATGCTGATGTTTATTTGTTAGATGATCCATTATCAGCTGTTGATGCACATGTTGGTTTACATTTATTGAAATATGTATTAAGTCGTTCCAACGGTCTACTTGCTTCTAAACATGCATTCTTACTACACATAGTCCAAAAGCTTTACCATTCTCTGATCGTGTTGGTCTAATGTCTGATGGTCAAATAATTGAATTGGGTAATTATCGACAATTGATACACTCAAATACTAGTCGTTTATCTGCATTTTTAATAACAGCTATACGAGCTGAGTCAGAAGTTCAATCAAATTCATCGAAAGAATTGGTAGATTGTTCACCGGAAAATTTAAAAAAAGGTAATAAATTTTGTCTATCTTCAGCTGATTAAAATCTTTGAAAGTTAAAAACATAACATGTATATTTGTAGTCTGCAACCAGACGATCTTCTTTCAACTGAATATCAAAGGTTTAACCATCCATTCCTAACTTGTTATTATTTGATTTTATTTTGAATGAAATTAGAAGAACAATTGAGTTAGAGTAGTGTTGATTGATTTTTCGATTGTATAATAGCTATAGATGATTCGAAAAGTTTATATGAGCTTAAGATTTCTATGAGTAAAAAAGATCATTTTACAGTGGTAAATTTACATTGAAATCATGAGCCGATCAATGACAGATCATTGTTGAAAACATAGAAGTACTGAATGTTCGTTTCGTCCTGATCTGGAACTCAGCAGTCCTCACTTATGGCACCGCAACCAAGATTTGAACTCAATACCTTCTGTCTCACGCCCGAATGCTGTACCTCCAGACTATTGAGTCGGCATTCAACAATGTTTATTTTTAATTTCAATCAATCTACGATATTGGGTGACCATTTTTTATTGTCTTCTGTGGGTAACGGTTTCACACCCGCCACGGTTTAGCTCCACGGATTACCTAAAGAAATGAAAACTGGATGACAAAATACCAGTAATAATATTCATAATAATAATAGGAAATGATTTTAATCTGAATTATGGATTCACCATGATAGTGATAAATGGGCAACTATCTTTTTTTGAATACATAAATTCGGTTTCATTTTTTTAAAATAGAAATAGTTGAGATCATAAGTCAGTTGAAGCTAGATCACCATCGAAAACCTGAAAGCACGGGACGACCGTTTCGTCCTATTGTGGGACTCATCAGCAGTGCGCATCCACGATCTCTCCTCGCGAGGTTCGAACCCAAGACCTATCAGTCTCGCGCACAAGCGCTTAACCTCTAGAACACTGAGTCGGCCGGCATCCAACAGTGTTAACGTCTAACTTCAACTAACCCACTAAATTGAGTGACACACCCATCATTGTCTTCAGTGAGTTACTATCTCACAACAGACCTGTTTGAACTCCACTAGTCACTGCTTCCCACTAGAACTTCAGGAAATACTTCTTCAAGACCGTCACTAGTGAGCATATGTTGATTAATATCAGAAGGGATTTTGTGAATACCGTTTTAGCAAAATGTAAACAAGTTACATTCTATTGTCTGTTGATGATTTTGAATGATTTATGAAATTGGATGATATGCTCACTATCGATTAGATATTAAGCTGTTGAATTATTCAAGCCTTGAAAAAGTACCCGAAATAAGAGTGATTTATGTTCTTCTGAATAAATCTCTGTTCTGTCTTTATTCATAAACAAAACTAATTTTATGGGATATTCCTTCAAATCTTATTTCTTGTCATGATTAATCCTTTTTCTCTCTTTTTTTTCGTATTCATTTCTTTAATTTTATTCTCTAGAATTCCTTGAACCAAGTTGTTTCCTACCTTTTGAATCATCTCCAGTATCTGAACATCATCATAAAAGTTCCACGGAAACATTGAGTATAGACAATCATAATGTTGTTGGACAATCAAGTTTTACTTCAACAGGATTATCTCGAAGATTAGTAAGTATATTGGTATATTTATTTCAATGAAGGCTTTTTAAATTGTATATATATAAGTGCAAAATCTTAACTGTTAAGGTTGTGTTTTATGCTATGTATTTGTGGCAAATCAGATGGAGTAATAATAGTAATGTTCTACGAATATCGTCCCAGAGAATTCCACGTCGTGCATTATTTGCCGACTTGTTGGAAAAAGCGGAGAGGTGGCAGTGTATGACATGGTGTCGGGGTATGAAAGAAAGCTGCAAAGAGCTGGCTTGTGTTGGTCCTTCACGAATCCCTGGCTGGGGTCGGAGAGATGGTGCAACACAGTGGGTAGAGACTTTATCAGATATGGCTCAGAATAATAGGCAGTGGCGATCATGCTGTAATCTTCTTTTACTTTCTTCATAAAAGTGGTTGCTTCTTTCTTAACTGAAAGATCTCTTCTTCTGATTGTACCTTTCCGACTCCCCATTATTATTATTGTTATTCGCTACCTTACACTAATCTGTTCGTTATTGTTCCTTTTTTTGACGCTCATATATATTTGGTGCCCTCTTGTACCAATATTTATGTGTAATAAATAAATAAAAATAAAATCATATGGAGTACCTTATAAACCTATAATAACCGAGACAACTAACATAACATACTACTTAACTCAGGAGACCCTTACTAGTAAAATGTATGATCACCGGGTAAGTAATAGTAAGGTTAGACGCAGGGTATTAGTGGATGATGGTAAATCAGTTGATGAGGTTGTGAATCTTCATCGACTGAGATGGTTAGGACACGTGTTACGTATAACTGAATACCGATTACCACGACGTGCAATGCTATCCGGTGTTGGAGATGGTTGGAAGAAAGTTAGGGGTGGCCAAACCAAAACGTGACATCAGTGCTTGAAGTCACTAACTTGTAGTCTGAGCCATGTTGATAGATGCAGACTACTTGGTTGGGGTCCGCGTGATAATCGTAAGCAACTGTTGGAGACTGTGTGTGACATGACTCAGAATCGCTCGATCACAATGGGTCAGTGTATACACTCGTTCTCTTTCCTTAAACTAAAAGATTAAAATTGTTTTATACGTTTGTTTCTACGAACTAATTCTTTCTTCCTGTACTATATCCCTATACGCAATCTTTCTTTTATATATTACCACCTCTGAATTAACTACTTTTATGAATCCAGTGTCCATCTTGTTGTGTTAATGAGGTATGGCAACTTGGACCGATGCACATATGTGCCTGGTCCTACGTAGTAGCTGATTGACTGACTGTATGATTATTATTAGTAGAAATACGATTAGCTAATTATTATTCTGTGGAATATAATAGCTTCAATCATTTAGTATAGTATAAAGTTTGAATTAAGGGTGTGTAAAACGCAATAAGTCGATTGTTTTTAAAGCTTGAAATAATAACTTGTGAAGTGATATCTTAATGGTTGAACAATTTTGATTTTCAAACAATAATTTACAGTTCGAATCCTATTCTTTTAAATTCTTCCTAGCAACTAGATGGTAACAGTTATCTACATATAAACAGTGTGACTAAATTCTGAGTGTACAAACTTATGAATAATAAGTGTACAACATATTTTATTTATGAGGTTTAATACAACCACCTATTTTTATTCAAGATGATGAAGTTGATAGAGAAGTGTTCAAATTTAGGATCTAGTAAATGAATCTTGACTAATTTGATCATTATTTAAATGATCATCTTTCAAATTCTTACTTGTTAAGTAATCTATTTGATAATGATATTAGAAGACGAAGATTATCAGAATAATACATTTCGAACAATCTGGTCACACATATACTTGTTAAGAGCATTTATATATAAAAATAAAAGGTCAACTAGACTGGAAACGGGTAAGAGGAGATAAGGATAATGATAAGAGTAATAATAATAATAATGTGAACACAAAGCGAAACCTAATCACTCTGGCTAATAAGTCAATATTACCAGGGTACGTTTAAGGTAAGAACAAACTGTTTTTGAACACATAAAGGGGGTTTGAATTTTCGTACGGCTAAGGCTTCAATAAACCTTAGTATACGCCCTATGTTTGTGTGACCACACACACATTTAAATTGGCAAACACAGTGGGATGTGACGCAATCGTTTCCATGTCTTTTAGGTTTTGAATGAAGCATGCACCTTGTTCTTTCTTTGATGATGACCTTTGCTGCGCAATACGTCTTATTGATGACTGATTTAAGTCGTTGTTTCAATAAAAGGCTATTTAAATCACATCTGAATGGTAAGGTGATGTAGACAGGCTTTTTCTCTACCGAGGCTACAGTAGGTCTCGCTGTACCATGGACTTTCCATCTATCTATGAATTTCAGAGGATAGCCATTTTCTATTAACGTCTTATTTAGCAAATTAACATCATCATCAATGGCGTCATTGGTACAAATACGGTCGAGTCTGTTGAAAAGACACCTTATCAAACCACGTTTGTATTGCACAGGGCAATAACTATAATAACTAAGATATTGACCTGTTCACGTTGGTTTTCTAAAAATAGATCGCTTGACTGAACCATCTTCTTGTCTACTCAGGAGTATATCTAGGAAGGGAAGCTGATCGTTTTTCTCCTCTTCACATGAGAGACTAATATGGTTTTGGAGAGTGTTGAGTTTATTCAATAAACCGTGCATATCCTCTTTTCTCTCACAAACAACTAAGATATCGTCCACATATCTCTTATAAAGTGACATGTTTGCGATTAATTCATCAGTCTGATTTTCAACATGTGCCATGAACACATCTGCTAGGGATGGTCCTAGCGGACTACCCATTTGAGTTGTGATTGTTTCCACTTGTTTCACAATGTTTTTTTTCTAGTTAAATAGATCCATGTCGTTTAGATGCCTTGTATGCAATGATCTAGATAATGCAGTTTGAAGGATTGAGTAAATTGACTAATAATCAGAATAATAATTCAAGTATTTCATTACATAATGGTCAATTCAACATTTATAAAACTGTAGCTAACAAAACTATCTTTTTTATTCGGAGATCTCTGTTTATGCATTGTATCTCCTAAAAGGTGTATTTACCCTCAACCTAACTATTCCTTTTTATCATAAATTGAGACATGTAGCTGTAAAATACGATAAGCAATGATTAGAATCTAATATCCTTTACATTTTTTTGAGTAAATAAATAATGCATTGTACGTAATACATCTTTATTTCTCTTAGAAGTTCAGTTTATTTATGAGGGCCAGAGATGTTATCTAATTGTCAGGAGT